GGGCTAGTATGAATCACTTTAAGCTGGCCCTATGGTTGCTGGCATGGCAGAGGTGTCCTGGATTCACCCAGTGAACACTGTAATGGATCACTGGTAAGTCAAACTCGAGCAACATTCTTTTTGCCTCCTGACTGACTGATTCCTATTTCCTTATTATTTTGGCTTTTCCTGGATAATAAGGGAGCTCAAGCAAATCAAAGTGATTAGTAAACTCATTATTCATTCCATCACAATAGTTTGATGCCATCCTGGAAGCAGGACTTTAATGGAATGTCACAGGGATCTATCCTTGACTATTAAAAAAAATTATTATGTATATTTCTAATTATCAAATATTTGTTTTTCCCCTTTCTATAACCCACTGAAAACATCAAGGAAGGAGGAAAGGAAGAAGAATGGATAGAAGGATAGGAGGAGGGTGGGAGGGAAGAGAAAAAGAGAGAAGAATGAAGGAAAGGAGGTTGGAGGGACAGAAGAAAGAAAAGAAGGAAGGAAAAAATGAAGGAAGGAGCAAAAGAAAGATGGAAAGAACAAAAGAAAGAAGGAGAGAGGGAAGGAAGAGAAGAAGAAAGGAATGAAGGAAGGAAAGAAGGAAGGAGGGAAGGAAAGAAAAGAGGAAGGAAGGAAGAAAGTAAGCATCCAGTTTTGGTCACCAAAAAAAAAAAGCTACTATAAAAATGAGGGAACGAAAGAAAGAAGGAAAGAAGTTTCCAGTTTTTGCCACCCAAAGAAAAGCTGAATATTTTTGTATATAAAGGATAATTTCCTCCTTTTTTAATATATATATCTTCCAAGACAGGACTAATAGAGTATATCTGGGTCAAAGGTTATATACTGTTTAGTAACTTTTCTTGCACGTTCCAAAATTGCTTTTCATAATGGCTGGACTAGCTCATAGTTGCACCAACAATGCAACACTGAATGATTTACCACAGTTCCTCTAATATTTGCCATTTTCTTCTTCCTTTTTTTTTTTTGGTCATCTTTTCCAAGCTGATGAGTAGAAACTCAGAGATGTTGTCATGTTCATTTCTTTAAGTATTAGTGATTTGGAGTACTTTTAAAAACATAATTATAGATAGTCTATATTTCTTCCCTTGAAAACTCCCTGTTCATATCCTTAGATCATTTATCAATTGAGAAATGGCTCTTAGCCTTACAAATTTGAATTAAGTTCTTACTTTGAAAATGAAACCTTTTATTGAGGAAACTTGCAGTGAAGAATTTTCCCCCAGTTGTTTCCTTCAGTTCCTAGGCTTATTGGATTTGTTTGTACAAAAATTTTTAAATTTTATGTAATAAAAATTATCCATTTTATCTTCTGTGATCCTTTCTATCTCTTATTTGTTCATAAACTCTTTCTCTGTCCTTAGATCCGATAAGTAATTTATGATGAAACTTTTTATATCACTTCCTCCCTTCCTCATTAGAATGTAATTATTTATCCTCACAAAATCCCTTCTGATCATTTACTTGTATTTATTTTTTAATTTTTTTTCTTGACTCAGTGTTTCTATTCAGCTCTCTCGCGCTCTCTCTCTCTCATCAGGAATGTTTGAAAGTCTTCTATTTCATTCAACGTTCATTTTTTTTTCTTTTGTAAGATTATATTCAATTTTGTAGACCTTCACCTTTTGGAATATCATATTCCATGTTGTCTGGTCCCTCATAGTGGCAACCACTAAGTCTCTTGTGATCCTGACTGTGGTTCCTCAGTATTTGAATTTTTTCTTTCTGGCTGCTTGTAGTATTTTGTCTTTGATCTATAAGCTCTGGATTTTAGCAGTGACATTCCAGGAGTTTTCATTTTAGGATTTCTTTTAGGAGCTTATTGGTAAATTCTATTTTCATATTGCTCTCATTCTAATATGTCTGGGTAGTTTTCTTTAATGATTTCTTGAAAAATAATATTCAAGTTCTTTTTTTTTTTTTGGTCATGGATTTGAGTAGTACAATGATTCTTAAGTTATCATTACTTGAGCTGTCTCACAGGTATATTTTCTTCTAATACATTATATATTACATTTTCTTCTAATATTATTTTAAGCTCTTTCTAAAGATTCATATCATTTCTACTAGGAATTCTAATTTATATTGTAGGCAAACTTTTTTTTTTCTTAGAGGTTTAGATTGTAGGTGTTTTGGGTGTTATTCTTCCCTTCTGGATTTCTGTCTCTGGCATTCCTGGCATCATAAAAGACTTTTATCATTATTATTTTGTTTACTTATTGAGATGTTGAGACCTCAGGACCTGAAATCCTAAATTTCTCCTAATCAGCTGATTAGACTAAACTGGAGCCCTTTTCTTTGCCCCGATGTTCTTTCTGTGGCCATGGGAGTCTTTCCTTCACTTTGACTCTCCCTTTCCTCAGGAATCACACTAAATTAAGTCATTTGCCTACAGCTCATACTTTTTCCTTTACCTGGGATGCCATGGTTGACTCCTTCTAGGATTGGCTTTAGTTGACGCCCTTTTCTTAGAAGGGGAAAAGGAAAGAGAGGACTTAAAGAAAATCCAAGGCTTTGTCAGAAATTGCCCATCCTCTGGTGGAATAGACCTAGTTGAGTCCTTTTCCTGGGGTTAGGGAGAGGAGACTTTTTAAGTATCTTATTACCTTGAGGTTTTTCTTCCTTAACCAGATACAGCTACCTTTACCTTCCCTCCTCTTTGCCCTAAAAGCAAGGAGCAGCTGGTTCTGAGGTTTTTTTCTTTGATGAAGTCTTTGACTTTCCCTTTTGTCCCTCAGGGAATCTGGCTTTCAGAATCCTAATGTTATAAGAAGTTATGGAGGTACTCCAAATATATCTGCCCTTCAGGATTGCTATGAGGCTGAAATGCGTTAATGTATATAAAGTGCTTTGCAATCCTGAAAGTGATATATAAAGGTCAGTTATTATTGTTGTTATTTTCACATCTTGAAGACATTTAATATATGTAAGCTGACTATGTCAAAGATTTCAGCATTTCTAGTCAAGTAAACAAGTGTTTATGAAGTACCTACTATGCACCAGGCTGGCAATACGAAAAAATAAAAGGCAAAAAAAATCTTTGCTCTCAAAGAGTTTGTGATCTAATGAGAGACAACATACAAATAACTATGTACAAATGAGATCTGTCTAGAATAAATTGGAGGTACTCTTAAGAGAGAAGGCAGCAGTATTAAGGTAGATCAGGAAAGGCTTCTTGCAGAAGGTGACATTTTTGCTGGGACTTGAAGGAAGCCAGGAGACAGAGATGAGGAGGAGGGGCATTCCAGGCCACAGGGGATAGATCTGTTATTTTGAAGAGAGTGATAACCCTTGTTTGGTGCCCTACTTCTGTTCTCTTAGATGATAAAACAGTAGTAAGGAGTTCTGTTGTGAGGAATATTTTTAGCTAATGTTAAAGCATTATAAATGTAAGTTGTTATTATTGTTTTTGTTACACTTACTCCTTTCTATTGTCACTGCTGAGCCATTATGGATGTCTACCTGCACTATCCCAATAGCCTTCCAGTTGGCTTTCCCATCTCTAGTTTCTCAGTCCATTTTTTGCACTACTGCCAACTTAACCTTAATTATTCTAAGATCTGATTTCACTAGCTTGCCAAATTAAATCCAAATTTTTAGTCTGACATTTTTTTTTGGTCCAGATATGTGATTTCATTGGTGTGGAGAGTTCTCTAGATGGGAAAAATCCCCTTCCAACGTAGGTCAGCAGTTGCTTGCAGCTTCTAGTTTTGGACAGTTGCCAGGGCACTGGAAGGTGAAGTGATTTGTTCATAGTCACAAATATCAGAGGTAGTACTTGAACCTAGATCATCCTGACTTGGAGGCCAGTCTTCTATCTACTACCTCATATTGTCTTTCATTTAAGACCAATCTGTTGCCAACCTACTTTTCTTTCACTGATCCTTAGAAGTAAAAAAGGAATAGGAAGTGATCAGCCCCACTTTTCCCTTTGGTAGCAGTGATGCCAGTGTTGGAAAGATACAGGGCTGCTCTTTCAATTGCTATAGATGTAGCTGAGAGGTTTCTTCACTGCTGTTTCTATAGCTGCTTCCCAAATCTATATACAGTGACCATATTTTAATTTTTATTGTATCTCCCTGGGTTGTGCATAGTCACAAACAATGGAGATGTACTTGCAAACATCATTAATTGCACATTGGTCAGTGTATTGTATATTTTTCTTATGGAGCTAAAACCATGGAGTAAAGAGCCCTAGGTCCTTCACTGGCATTTTATTTGTCTTCTCTTTATGTCAGTGTCACAGGGCTTCACAGACCCTCTGTTGCTTTTTTTGGGAACATGGCAGTACTTTGATAGTCCACCCCAAATGAATGGGTGGAAAACATGGGTTAGAAATACTAAGGAAGGAGCAGACCAAGAGCCTCTATCAAACCTAAGAAGGGGTCTTTCCCTAGAAATCAGTGCACGTAGCCAAGAAGGGGGGGAGAACAGGACAATTCTGTGGACTGAGCAAATAGAAGAGGTACAATTTGCTTGATCAAAAGACTTTTAGGAATCATTTGCTTTTCAAGTCTAAGTTTCTCATGCATAGCTGATGAATCTCTCCTGGTATCATCTGACAAAACCAGGAAAAAGATGAACATTTCCCCGTTGTAAAAAAAAAAGCAGTATGAGAGGTATGACTATAGCATATGAATGACACTGAAACCAGAGGAGGTTTTAACAGCCAACAGAACTGTATTTCCTTTGGTCCATTCTTGCTGTTCCCACATCTATGAAAATGCTTATTCTGCAATCTGTAATGGAAAATCAGTGGAAAGATAAAGATGCACTTGACAGTTTTTTTCTGAGATTTTTTTTCTGGACTAGATTTATTTTGTTAAATCAAACATAACCTGTAATTAGGAGATTCTAGTAGGTTCAAACTCTAGATTTGTTTTTATTTATTAAGCCAAGGATGCATTGTGCAACAAGAGGCCAGGGAAACAGAATAACTTGAAATTCTGTTTGCCCCTGTAATGTGTTCCTCTGTCCTTTTTGTTTTTCAGGGAGTTGTAGAAACAAATGCTACGAGCAATCCTACAGAGGTCTGGAGGGCTGCCAGTGTGATAGTGGCTGTAGAGACCGGAAGAACTGCTGCTGGGATTTTGAAGAAACTTGTGTGGCATCAAGTATGTGCAATAACATTGCATGAGTTAGCCTATCATTTGCTTTCTGGAACAATAATGATATGGAACTCATTTTGTGGTAATCAGTAGTCCTGTCAATGGACTGCTTCTGCGTTTTAGCAGTCCAAGGCCTTCTTCAGCGTATATCTCCAGAAGAGGCTGAGCCTCTTCACTGGCTATCTCCCATGCCTGGAATGTTTTCCTCCTCACCTCTGCCTCCTAGATGTCCCCAATTTCTTCAAGACTTAGCTCACCTCCCATCTTCTTTAGGAAACTTATAAAGATTCTTTTACTGCTTTGTAATTATATTATATATTTTGCATGTACCCAGTTATTTGCATATTGTTTCCCCATTGAAATGGGGAGACAAATGCCCTTTGAGGGCAAGGACTGTGTTTTTGCCTCTCTTTATATTTCCAACATCTGGCATGGTGCTTGACACATAGTAAGTATTTAATAAGTGTTTGTTGACTGACTGACTACACTGGATGAGGCTTCCTTTGAGTAGCCATGCTGGAATCATAAAGATTCCCCAGAACCAATTTCCTTATCCCTACCTTGAGAATAGATTAGTGACTAGAAGGTTACCCAACGCTCATAAGCTTGCCTTATAGCAAAATAGAGCCTTTCTCCTGATATCTATGCCAATGGAGAAGATTAGTGAATTAGTAGTCCTAGTAGATGAACAGTTCTGCATTATCTTTTGTCCTTAATTATTGTAGATAATTAAGTAATTATTGAAATAAAATTCATATTTTCTTATAGTGAACTTTAATTTATTAAATACTCAGTTGAATTATGAAATTTGCAGCTCAGATATGGAAATGTAATGTATTTCGTTGTGGAGAGACTCGGCTACCTCACAGTCACTGTTCTTGCTCTGATGACTGCTTGCAGAGAAAAGACTGTTGTACTGATTATAACAGTGTTTGCAAAGGTAAGTAAAAGAACAAATAGGAATAATTTTCTTCTGTTTTATCCTAAAAAAAAGATCGACACATGAGAGAATCTTAGTTTAATAATAAGATATGAAAATTAGGACAGGCTGTGAAATATTTGAGTACTCATTTGGAATGAAAAGACATTTGGCTTTTCATTTAATTTTTGGAAGAAATACAGTATGCAGAGTTATAACTGGAGCAGGGAGACCACAGCTTTGCTCTATGCCACTGAAATTTAAAGGACATTCACATTACTTAAATTCCTTCAGTAATAAACAATTGAATTTAGTAACTAGTCAACAAGAACAATTAATTAGAATAGGAAGCAACTAGATGGCATGCTGGTCACCTCCTATCATCCTGTAATCTGTCCTTTGACTGCAACTGAATTTGTCACACAAAAATTATTTGAGGCTACATCTTTATGGTATCTTGGGATCTCTCTTCTTCACCTCCAAACCTCATTTGACTAAAAAAAATTGATTTGAGGGTATATTTTATGCTGTTTTTTCTTGGAATGTTTAGGGAAGCTTGCCCTGGGCACCAAATTGGTGGTGGTATAGCTGACAGTGTGTATTACATAAGCTTTTTCTTTAGCAGGAAGAGGCAAAGTTAGGAGGTTAAGACTTATTGTTAAATTCTCCATTCGACCTCACCCATTCTTTCCTTTTTCACACTAACTCCTTTTATTCTTCAATATACTTTTAAAGCCATTTTCTTGGTGGTTAAAATAACCCAGTACTTTAAAAATCAGGCATACATGCCAGCTCATTATAGTGGAAATCTTCTTGAAATAAAATTTAGCCCTTGTATTTCCTCAGAACTGTTTTCCTTTCAAAACTGTTTCTTGATAGGTAGTTAATCAGATAAGGTGACTGATCTCTGCCAAGCCATTGTATGCCATGCAATAAATTGTATGTTAATAATTTAAACTGCATTCATTTTCTCTGGAAAAATTGTATCCTCCTCCATAGTTGTAACCAGGAGTTCCGGCTCATGGAGATCACTTGGAGGGTGGGGAGGGGAAGAGGCACACAAAAGACAATCATTCCTAATGGGATACAGCTAGCCAAGGGAGAATCCAAATCACATCCCTTGTGTCATGGCTAATGAGCCTTGACACCTCAGAGGAGGTGTAATGTTGTGGGAATGGGTGGAAGTTGGGAGGGGATGTGATGGGAAAGCAGATGGGGAGAACATGGCTGTAAGAAAGAGAGGAAGATGGACTACAGCAGAAAGGTGGAATTGGGTGGGGTGGTTCTGCATGGCATAGAATGAGCAAAGAACAGTGAGGCACAGAGTTGGAAATCTCCCCTTACCCAAGAAAAGCTCCAGTTGTTATATCCTCATTATAGCTTTGTAGTAAAATACTTTATTCTTAGGGAGTGCCCTAAATAAAATAGTTCCATCTTAAGATGAAGTATGCTATCTATGCATTTGTGTTTTAACTTCTGCTTTTCTGATATCTAAACATTTTGATCTCACATTTTTAGGAGAAAGCCTCTGGGTAGATGAAGAATGTAGCGCTTCTCAGGAGTCTCAGTGTCCAGAGGGGTAAGATTAATTTGAGTATTAGATTCTCTTTTAGCAGTAGGAAGACTGAATTGAAACAGAAAGAAGTAGGATATGGGAGTTTGTGGATGATACTTTTTAGAATAGAAATGAATTAATAATTAATTATAACTAATAATTAATTTTAGAATGAAAGGAGTTGCTTGTATTATTGAAGTTTGAACTTTTGAACATTCCTTAAAGTAGGTTGACTATTAGCAAAAAGTAAACATTTGAGATAAAATATTATGAGCTTGAAGAAGTAAACACAGTTAAATTGTAGTGGATAGACTGATAGATTGAGAGTCAAGGAGACCTAGGTTTAAGCCTTGTCTTAGACATTTACTAGCTTGGTGACCTTGTCAAGATATTTTACGTCTCTTGGCCTCATTTCCTCATCTATAAAATAAGTGAGTTGTATCATCCAGCAATGAATCCATAATGCTATGTATGCCTGCCTCACTTTAATTAGCCTAAGAAGCTTCTCGCTATTTTGTCACTTACAACAAGTTTTTGAAAAAATGTTTCATCTGAGTTTATAGGTAATATCTTAGTGAGAATTTAACCTGATGCTTATCTAGACTTTTGCTTACTGACCCATCTTTCTCTGTAAATGGGAACCAGAAGCCAGCTTCATAATTGTGCTTCCACTATGTATTGTTAGACAGGTTTTACCAATTGCTGCTATCATTGCATATGTCCCCAGCTCTAAAATAGGTGAGTGCTGGTGATGAGGATGGCACACTTTTTTTCTTTTTTTTTATTAATTAATTAATTTTTAGTTTTCAACAATCACTTCCATAAGCTTTTGAGTTTTAAATTTTTCTCTCCCTCCCCACCTCCCTCTCCAAGATGGTGTGCAATCTGATATGGGCTCTACACATTCCTATTAAACATATTTTCGCATTAGTCATATTGCAAGGAAGAATTAGAACCAATAGAAAGAGCCACAAGAAAGAGGGAACAAAACAAAACAGAATTTTAAAAAATAGCAAATAGTATGCTTCAATCTGCATTCAATCTCCATAATTCTTTCTCTGGATATGGATAGCATCTTCCAACATGAGACTTTTGGAGATGTCTTAGATCCTTGTATTTCTGAGAATAACTAAGTCTATAAAAGTTAGTCATCACACAATGTGGCTGTTTCTGTGTAGAATGTTCTCCTGGTTCTGCTTACTTCACTGAACATCAGTCCATACAACTCTTTCCAGGTTTTTCTGAAGTCTGCCTGCTCATCATTTCTTATAGCACAATGGTATTCCATTACATTCATATACCACAACTTGTTCAGCCATTCCACAATTGATGGACATCCCTTCAATTTCCAATTCTTTGCCACCACAGAAAGAGCTGTTATAAATATTTTTGTGCCTGTGGGTCCTTTCCCCTTTTTTAGGATCTCTTTGGGATACAGGAATGGCACACTTTTTAAGAGGAAGTATAACCCCCTCATGTTGGTCACATTTACTCCTCACTAGTAGTTATGATGATAGTACAAGGAAAGGAGATCCTTCGTCCCTTGATCAAAAGAACTCAATGATGAGTATAGCACCCAACCTAGTTTATCTATTTTATCCCTGGGTTTCTCCTACCCCACATTCTTTCCTTTCTACCTTAAGGCTAAATCATTTATCAGTCACAATTCCTATAACAGCAGGCTTACCATTTTATGTAGCAGGACAACCAGTCACTTCCTAAGCTGTTCCCTCAAAGGGCAGAGAACTTTGTCCCTCCTAGCACTTAGAAAGACAGTGCTGGCTTATTTTTAACCACTTGGCCTCTCATCCCCCTCTCCTGACACTCCTTGCAAAGTAAGTCAGAACTCTTAAAAAAAATTAGGAAGAGGAACCTAGATTCTTCATTATGCTATCTAAACATATGTAAGATGAACTGTCTGCTCTTAAATCTCATGCCTCAGTTTAGTGAGTTTTGCTGAGAAATCGAAACTGTGATCACTTAATTCATGCTATAATTTTTTTGGGGAAAAAATATCTAGTGATATAAACTTATCAAAACAAAGAATTTAAAAATATGTATTTTTTCTGTGGGAAATTTCATAAAATGAAGCCTTTTCTTTTATCTCCAAAGGCTACAAAAATAAGTTAAATTTGGTTTTGATCAGCCATATATATTGTCCATATGTAAAGAGATGCTTTCAAAAATCATAAACAATTAAAGAATTAGAAAACTTTTATGAAAATTCTCTCTTGTTTTGACGTAGTTATTTTTGAAAATAAGTAAAATAAGCAAATAATAACCCACGTTGGCAGTAAGGAAATTTTCTCTTCACTATGCCATTTCTTTCTCTTTTTGTCCTCACTCTTAAGGAAGATTAGTTCTGGCAAGCAGCAAAGTCTATTTATTTTTAACAAAAGACTCCTTAAGACAGAGCAAATAGTATGCTTTGATCTGCATTCAAACTCCATAATTCTTTCTCTGGATGTGGATAGCATCTTCCATCATGAGACTTTTAGAGATGTCTTAGAGCCTTGCATTGCTTTTTTTTTTTTTTTTTTTTTTTTTTTAGGCAATTGGGGTTAAGTGATTTGCCCACGGTCACACAGCTAGTGTCAAGTGTTTGATCTGAGGCCGAATTTGAACTCAGGTCCTCCTGACTTCAGGGCCGGTGCTCTCTCTACTGCGCCACCTAGCTGCCCCTCTTGCATTGATTTTAAATGATTAAGGCATAACAACTCCAAAACTAGACTCTACTTCTGGATTGCTTATTTATTCTTTTCATTAGATTTTTTTAAAGTCTTTGGGAATTATTAGCAACATTGCTATTAAAATCTACATGTGGGAAGGATTTTGATAGGGATAAACCAAAGGATTTCATGTTTTTATCTGGGTTTATGGATATTAAAGTAATAGTCTTTTTTAAGGATTGACATCAGCAGCAGAGCTGGAACCAAATTTATGGAGATTTTGATCCCTGTGTTCACTGTTATTCACCCTCAGGGTCTCCTTCCCTTTGTCACCAGAATTATAAATAGGCACAGTATAGTTTGGGAACTTGAAAATCTGTTAATATCCAGTTCGAAAGAACCAATGGATAATTGGTGATGTAGAATTGAAATTGAGGGAAGAGACTGGATTGGATATAGAAATCTGAGAGTTAGCATTGAGATAATTAAACCCATGGGAGATGATGAGAACTCTGAGAATATAGATAGAAAAGATTAGGGGTCCTAGGACATAGCCTTATGGAACACTCACATTTAGAGAGTTTGATTTAAATTATGAGCCAGTAAAGAAGACTGAGAAAGAGTTAGTAAATTGGAAGGGAAACTAAGAGAGAATAGTGTCTTGAAAGTTCAGAGAGGAGATAAATCCAGGATGAGAGTTTGATCTATGAAGGTTTTTCTAAAGAAGAAGGACATGTGCATGTTTGAAGGCTGCAGGGAAGGAACCATTTAAGTCAAAGATCAAGAGAGAGGAGATGGTTGGACTTGCAATCTTCTGGAAAAGATGAGGGGATAAGGTCAAGGGCACATGTAGAGGGGTTGGCCTCAGCAAAAAAGGTCACCTCCTTGTCAGAGACAATGAATATATGAATTATTGAAGCATTTTCCCACTAAAAACCTACTTTAACTCTTCATCATAGTGTGGAAATGACCTTGAATTCATAAAGGCTATGTCAGTAGAGCACAAGCTCTGACAAGTCTTGTTGTTCAGTCAGTTGTTCAGTAGTCTGACTCTTTGTGACTCCATTTAGGGTTTTCTTGGCAGAAATACTGGAATGGTTTGCCATTTCCTTCTCCAGTTCATTTTACAGATAAAGAAATTGAGGCAAACAGGGTTAAGTGACTTGCCCAGGATCACACAGTCAATAAGTATCTGAGGCTAGATTTGAACTCAGGAAGATGAGTCTTCTTGACTCCAGGACCTGCACTCTATCCACTGAATACCTGGCTGCCCCTTACTCAGGAGAAATGGCTTCAAGTGGGATTCAGAAACAGCTTGATTACAAGTCCGTTGATTGAGGAAACTCACGAAGACTATCTATTAAAATATGGAAGTATTTCAATTCATTTCAGCAGAGGGAGTACCCACACCTCTGGATCTATGTTTAAATATCAAATATGACTTTTGTAGAGGAACACAATTGTTCTAGATCAGAAGTAATTCAGAGGCTAGTCCGGTGCTTCAGGTTCTCTGAATTGGAACAAAATGAGACACTCATAGAACCATCTAATAGTTAGAAAAAGAAGTCTGCTTAGCCAGTATGGAAAGAATACTCAGCAAGGATACAACATTGATTCATCTGAGTTCAGCTTCCCTGTCTCTGTCTTGCTTATATTTAAACATCAGGCAGGCCTAGAGGAGGACAACCCTTACCTCCTAGTTAGGCGCCTTTTGTAATTAGGTTCCCAGGAAGCTACATCAAAAGACCCAGCCTTTGTTTTCTGAGTCAACTAGGTTTTTAAGGATAGTTTCAATACTTTTAAAGGGAAAACTAGCTTAGTCTATACAGGAAGATATTATTTTCATAGTTAGAAAATATTCTCATTTGTTAATGTGTTAAAAAATAATTCTAGCCTTGATTTTAGTCATTCCCTCATTCAATAGCACTTATTAAGTACTTGCTTTGCATAAACATCTTGCTAGGTACTCAAGATACAGAAAAAAAAATGAAACAGTCCTTGCCCTCAAGGAACTTCCACTCCAGTAGGAGGAAATATATACACAAATAAGCAAGTAAAATTACAGATTTAGAGCTATAAGTGTCCTTAGAGGTTATCTGCTTCAACCCCTTCATTTTATGGAGGAGTCATTGAGAGACGAAGTCATACAGTTAATAGCTGGTAAAACTGAGATTTGAACTTTTCCAGGGCCTCAGGTTACAAATCCAGTGGTGTTTGCACCACATTTCCATACTAAATATGCAAATATAAATTATGAAATACAAATTTGGCAGGTTGGACTGCCCTGGGCTGGACAAGACAAGAGTATTGACAACTAGAATAATCAAGAAAGGCCCTGGATAGAAATTGGGCTAGATATTCTGAAAGTTGGAGAGGGAAGATGAGAATGATATGTATCCTTGCTTTTTGTTACTTATATGGTGTAGGATGTGCCTAGAAAGGATGTTTTGCAGAAGAGTGAAAAAGTTGTACATACTAGATGACTCACCTAGGTCATTCATGTCTATTGCTTAACAGAGAGAATGTTTAATTTCAACTTACTTATCACTTACATTAATTGTATTATTTGCTCAGTGAACTACTTAGTCTCAATGTTTTTGGCTTTTGTTTTTTACACAGGAAAAAGTTCTCTGTTAGAATCCAATACCTGTAGGAGTTGGCAGTAAAACAAAACAAAACAAAACAAAACAGTGTGATATAGTGGAGTTATGGATTTGGAATCACAAGGCTTGGGTTCAAATCTCAACTCTTAAGTTTACTGTTGATATGAATTTGTGCCAGTCAATTAACCTCTCTGGGCCTCAATTTCCTCTACTGTAAAATGAAGAAATTAAATGAGATGGCCTCTAAAAGCCCCTTTCAGCTCTAAATCTATGAACCAGTGTGTCAACCATTATCCTGACCCTTTTTGCTCCAATTAGGAAGTGGGAGTGGGAGTAGGGGAGGGAAACCACCACTTAACCAGGGGTTAAATATGTCAGAGAATTCCCATGAGGGGATTAGGAAGCAGTAAGAACAGCACAGGCAGGAAGTGGGTCAGGGAGGGAGGTTTTTCAGCACATATTCATGACAGAAACAGCTTCAGCAGGGGAAAGGATGCCACTGGGATTGATCATTCTTAGGTGAAAAGTAAGTCAAGAAATATTTAGGCACCTACTATGTGCCAGGCACTGTGCTAAGTGCTGGGGATACAAAAAAGAGGCATTCCCTGTCCTCAAAGGGCTCATAATCTAATGGGGAAGACAACAAATGAACAAATATATACTAACAAACTCTACAGGCTAAATAGGAAATAATTAAAAGAGGGAAGGCACTAGAGAGGTTGGGAAAGATTTCTTGTAGAATATGGGCAATAGAGTTTTACATATATAGGGAGAACCAAAATCGGGATTAGAATGGAGCCTAGGTGGTCTCTACTTCCTTTTATTGTGACTTGAGGTGCTGGGAATCCCAAAATATAAGGAAACAGGAGAGGAGATAATTGTCTGGAAATAATTCAACCACTCAAGCCTTCTTTCTATCAGAGTAGTGAGATTTATTGTAACACCAGTATGTTGGGCAATATTCCTAGTAAATCTGCAGCTTTGTCTGGGTGAGAATGATACTGTTGCACAGAAAAAGGGAAAAAGGGTTAGTGAAAAGATCTTGATGGTATTAAAGAGTGGTAAGTAGCCTGGCGGGCCAGAGGCAAACAATGAAAGGGTCTAGATGGGATTAAGGAGTTTCAAGTAAGCTAATTAAGTAATCGAGGTGGGTTGAGGTGGACCAGATTGCCTTGGGCAGAGGCACCTGATTTGGGCTACTGAAATGTATGGGAAAATTCAGGATCTAGGTCTCATAGTCCCATCATTCCCTCCTCAAACAAATGGGCCCTAAAATATTTTGGGGTAAGGGGCAATTACTCCAAAAGATTTTAGGTCCCATTTGTTTAAGGGGAGAATGATAGGGTAATGGGACCTGGACCCCTAAAAGGAAAAAACCATGCCTTTGAATGAAGCCCAGTCCCTGAACTTTCCCACACAACCCAGTCACACAACCCAGTCACACAACCGTGGCCTTTTGTCTGAGACATCTGGCCCATCCCAGCCCATCTAGATGCTCAATGATCCTTTTAACTGCTATTTCACTGTGGCTCTCTGATCACTTAACTCCTTTCATTGTCTGCATCTGACCCACTCCAGGTTATTTACCACTCCTTAATTCCATCCAGATCTTCTCACTGTCTTTCTTGTATATAAGTACCAAGCTTACCCCTATTAAATTGTTCAGATTCACTGGGAACTATGCCTACTTTTGTTGGTGTTACAATGCTGCAGGTTCAGTCAGAATCTAGCCAGCTTCTTTTGGTGATACAAATAACCCTGCTGCTTTGACTGAAAGAAGGTTTGAGTGGTTGAATACTTTCAAGACAGAATCCCCTTGTACCCTTATATTCTGGGATTCCCAGCACCCCAAACCACAACACTTTGACCCTAAGTCAAAGAGATTAGGCATGGCCAGGGCCTGATACCACACTGAGGCAGGGGGGAGGGGGTACCACTAGTTTATAAGGGATCTGAGGATTGGGTCCTGATATGCTCATTAGGGTTTAAAAGAGAGATAACAATATAAACAAATCTTGCCATATCGTGCAGTTCATTCTCCTTCCTCGATGTTTTAGTTACATGAACGTTTCCTAATATAGAGATTGACAAACAGAAGACAGGAGAGTACTTTGCTTTTTATAATTACAGTGAATGATGACTTTTTTTTGGAATTTTTACTTTTAGGTTTAGTCTGCCACCTGTGATTTTGTTTTCCATGGATGGTTTCAGATCTGAATATTTACATACATGGAGCACACTGATGCCCAATATCAACAAACTGAGTAAGTCTCCAGTGAAAGGGTCAAGTTATACCTACTAAGAGAAGGAATAGCTGTGCCAGCCTCATCTTTGACTCTTGGATTTGATGGCCAGTTTATTGCATAGTATGGCTTATCCATGGTGCCCACATTCTCATATTTGTTTTGGCCTTTCCTTTCTCTGTCACCTGTTTGTATAGAATTTGACACAACTGAGAATAGCATTATTTTCTAGGGGGTTATTTCCTTCTTTGAAAAAGATTTGTGATCTTCCCACTTCCATATTCCCTTCCACGTGGACAGGTAAGAACTCATAGGTGAGCCTTTGCAACTACATGCGTACAACAGCTCTCCATTAAGGTAGTGTCAGAGGATGATGGAATTCTCCAGAGATTCTTGTAGTAGACATGTAATACTATCCTGACACATAACATTTAGAAAAAAAAACTAATGAGTCAGAGTCTTCAAGAATCAGGACATATTCTAAACTTGTATTACCCAAATTTATAGTCAACCAAAATATTTCATAAGTATGAACTCCAGAATGCTGAATTATAAGCTTAGCAGAATTTAATTCACTTTTTAATTAATTTTAACAAATACTTATTAATCACCTACAGGGTGTCTCAGTTTCCTCCTCTGTAAAGTGAAGGGGTTGGACTAGATGGCCTCTGAGGGCCACTCCACCTCTTGATTTATGATCTAGAATCCCCTTCTTTATAGGCTGATTTTCATTTGCTCTCAACTTCTTATTCATCTACTGCCCCATCTCTGTGGATAAGACGCTAGTTCTCAGTGGCTCAGAAAGCCATCCTGAGCCCTCATATCAGGATCATCCAAATGACTGCCCCCCACAAGCAAAGGGTATAGAGGGATAGGTTTATTTAGCTTGTAAGGGATGCAGATGTTGAATATATAGCAAAGATACCTGTTGGCAGATCTGATTTTGCTTCAGTTTCCCCTACAGAGACTCTGTTCACAAGGGTGTCAGGAGGCATGGTATGGGAAAATCTTTAGGTCTGAGGTATATACCACTGAACTGGGAGAATATATATGCCCAGGTATGGGAAGGAGTGGGATGGGAAAAAGGGATGGGATGTCATTGGTCCTCTTTGAAAATGAAGGGTGAACAACAACAAATAACATCACGTAATAATGATAATGGCATATTATATAATTTAACATTAATATAATCATATTACATATAGTATATAATGATATATAAAAAGTATTTCTATATCCCTTTAAGTTTATAAAGCATTTCCTTTACCTTATCCATATCACCAGTATAAAGCCTTCATCCATACATGGAGGTAAGGAATCTTTATTCTGTAATTGCCACTTTACTTCCTCTTTGAAATACCTATTGCCCAGCTGTTGAGGAACTTCCTTCTTGAAATTCTAGCTGCTTCCTCATACCACTTTCTCTTTTGTAAGGTATATAGGCCTGGTGATAGCCTGCCACATTGTTTAAAGTGGCTATTCTGTTGATTTTTAGTTTTACAACTATGGTTTAGATTGAAAACATCTTGAATAAATGAAAAGCCTAAATCTCATGCAGGTTAAGTAGCTGGCCTGTGGTCAGCTTTACTGGGGTCAGCTACTTAACCTGCATAAGATTTAGACTTTTCAACTAAAAAATGGGGATAACAGTAATACCTCATAGGGTGGATAACAGGATTAAACAACATAATGCAAAATTGTGCCTCCTAAGTTCTATGTAACAATAGCATGATATTTGTTTGAATTTATGCCAATAATTTAAGAGGGGAAGGTCATATTTCCTGAACAAAAGCGAATTGTTTACTTTTCATCTTTTCATTGTTGGAAAATTTCAAATGTAGCTATGTAAACTCCAGTCCAATGTTTTGTATTTTGCTGTTGGAGAGGAAATAACTTTCAACGTGTATTTTCCCAGTGGTAGTGACCTCTGGAATGAGGTTATTGTACAGACCAAGAAATGATCAAAGAAATAAAGGTACAGCTAATGGCCTTCCTTGTTAAAAACAAATGCCTGAAAAATCACTTTTCCATATGGAAACTGTATTCAAAAAATAAGCCAGAGGTGTTCAAGGTTTTGGAGTATGACAGCTCCTGTCTCTAAGGAAAAAAAAACTTTCATGGCCCTGTCTTTTATTACTACATGATGTTATCACTATCTTTGATAGTGAGAAGGTATAATGACCAAAAAGTTGCTATCAATTTAGTAGATATCAATTGTAGCTGGTATTTCACTGGTATAATTAAGTCATGTCAAATCAATAAGCATTTCTTGATCTCCTGTGTGCCAGGTACTGTGCTAAGCACTGGGGATACAAAGAAAGACAAAAGGCAGTCCCTATTCTCATGAAATTCATTGTTTAATGGGAAAGGCAATGTGCAAACAACTATATGCAAAAAAGATATAGAAGATATATTGGAGATAATCGCTAGAGGGAAGGCACTAGAATAAAGGGGAATTAGGAAAAGTTTCCTGTAGAAGGTGGGGTTTTAGCTGGGATTTGAAAGAAGTCAGGAAAGCCAACAGGCGGAGATGAATAGAGAATTCTAGGCATGGGGGAAAACCAGTGAAAATGCAGTCAGAAGTTGGAGTGTCTTGTGAGAGGAATGGAAGGGACTGTCACTGGATCACTGAGTATATAGTGAAGAGAAAGAAGTAAAAAGATGGAAAGGTACCAAGGGGCCAGGTTATGAAGGGCTTTGAATGCCAGAGGATTTTATATTTGATCTTGGAGGAGATATGCAACCACTGGAGTTTATTGAATAGGAGGGTGAAATGGTCAAACCTGCACTTTAGGAAAATCAATTTGATAGCTGATTGCAAGATGGACAGAAGTGGGGAGAAACATGTAGTAAGGGAATAAATCAGCAGGATATTGAAATAGTCTGGGTGTGAGATGATGAGGGCCTGCACTAGCTTGGTGGCAGTGTCAGAGGAAAGAAAGGAGCAAATGTGGGAGATGTCACAAAGGTAAAATCTACAACATCTGGCAAGAGTTTAGATATGGGATGAGAATGAGGAGTAGAGGATGTTGCCTACTGTGTGATGGTAAGACAGGATTTTAGAGGAAAGATGAGTTTACTTTTGAACATGTTGAATTTAATATGTCTTTGGGATATCTAGTTCAACATGTCCAGTAGACAGTTGGAGATGTGATTCTGAAGGTTAGGTGAGAGATTAAAGCTGAATAAGTAGATGTGAAGATCATTAGTAGAGAAAAGATAAAGAATCTATGAGAGCTGGTGAGATCACCAAGTAAATTGGTAGAGAGGGAAATGATAACAGCCCAGGATGGAGTCTTGGGAGACATGCACCATTACCTGGGTGATGATCCTGCAAAGGAGACTGAGAAAGAGCAACCAACCAGGTAGGAGGGGGGCTAGGATAGAATAGTGTCATAAAAACCTAGAGAAAAAGAGTGTAGGGAACTTCGAGAAAAAGAAACTTCCTCTACCAATGCACCTTGGTGCCTGAGAGGCAGTGTTGCAGAGTAAATAGAGAGCTGACCTCAGGCCACCTCTCCCTCACCTCAGACACATAGTGGGCAAGTCACCTGAGCTCTCAGTGGTGCAGACAACTCTCTAGGATTACAAATTACATAGAAGGTCCTGAACTGCCTCAATTCAATAACACTTTAAATATATAATAATGCTTTAAAATCAGTAATTTATATTTTGTTACTTATTGTAACAAAAAGGAATGTGTTTTAGCTGATAGAGAGCTGGTTTTAGTCAGGAATAGGTGTATTCAATTCATCCCACCTCTGCCACATGTAGACTATATGATCCTAGGAAAGGAAAGTTGCTTAACCTCTCAATGTAACTAAGATTATACATTGCAGAGCAGGTACTGATTTGAACTCAGAAAGTTTTTCACTTTGAGCTCCTTACATTAATGAAATGACAAGCCTGGTTCAAAAATAATCATTATAGCTTCTCCAGGCATTGGAAAAATAGTAATACATCTCTGTGTGAGGAATACAATTTGTCAATACATAGAAGACCTGGTCTTTTATTGATTTGTAAAGCTCTTGCAATAATTACAACCCATAGGTGGGAAGCCAAAGTACTAAGATATAAAATTTGTTTCTTTGTAAACAGTAAGGTTTTGATAAAATAACATTGTAATCATATGCTTACATTTCAAGAGTAGAGGCTATTTAGTTAGTTGTATTTGTATCTCCAGGGTCTAGCACAATGCCTGACACATAATACGTGCTTAATAAATGCTTGGTGATTGAATGTTACCAATTCACGTGCACTAGACTAGAACAAAAGCTAAAGGACATCTCATAGTCTTATATTATGAAGAAATTTCATGTTGAATATGATTTTTAAAGAAAGTGAATCATCTACTTGAAAATACACTGACCACGGGGCAGGTAGGTGGTACAATGAATAGAGTACCAGCCCTGGAGTCAGGAAAATATATGGGCCAAGAACTTAGGAATAGGTTATAAAGAGATTTCCACTGAAATTAGTTTTATAATAATGATTTGTGTATATCATAATAGATATTAGTATGCATTCTAAAATATAAATACTGAAAAGCTTTTCTGTTCTGTATAGTGTCTTTTCACATGTGACCTCAAGCTTAGTTGGGAGTTGTTAGATATTAGAGTTCAGAAATTTTTATTTTCTTTACTGTATTCAATGTACTAGTTCAAGAAAAGCACATAGAGTAGATGTTGAACTAATTCCATTAAATATATTTATATGAACCATTATTATGAACCCTTACAGTTGGCTTTTTATTTTTTTATTAGAAGCTTTATGTGCCAAATTGCCATCTATTTGTACATACTCTTCATAAACAAGGAACTTCCTGATATGTCAATATGATTTGTTGCAGAAACGTGTGGAATACATTCGAAGTACATGAGAGCAGTTTATCCAACCAAAACCTTCCCAAATCATTACACCATTGTCACAGTAAGTTATTAACCAAGTGGTTTAGCTGGAAAAAACAAAACAAAGCTAATTAAATGGTTTATGGCCCAGATTAGGGAAGAAAGATGTCCCAGCCATGTTATATGCCACTGATTAAGGCCATTTAGCAAGCTTCTATTGGGGAAAGGTCATGGATCAAACTGTGATTCAGGAGAGAGTAATCAGAATGCCATGAAAGCATCAAGGTCAAAGGATTCACTGGTGTCAGCAAATCTGGAAGATTAGGCAGGTATCATGAGATTAGATCAAAGGATCATGGATTTAGAATTGTAAGGGATCATAAAAGTCACTGAGTCCAACCCCCTTATTTTTACAGATGAGGAAACTGAGGTCCAGGAAGGTTAAGGGATTCACCTAGGGTCACACAGCATCTGAAGCAGGATTCAACTTTCTACAAGTGCCACATTCTGTCCACAAATCACAAGTACTTTAACAAGCATCAAGGAAAAATACCAAAATGAGTAGTGATCAGAAAATTTGAGGAGAAACCAGCCACAGGTCTGCAGGCACTTGGGAGGGGGACTCTAGCCAGCAAGGCCAATGCAGAGTCTTCTAGCACATGGAGGGGGCCAAGACCTATGTATATTTACCAGAGCAGCTGGCAACTGTGTTACTCTGACCCTCGGATGGGTCTTAGAACCTCCCAGTGTGGACTGGAGCTAAGGCTTGAGGCTGTACTCGAGGGCAGAAAGTATGGACCAGGTGTGAGCTGACAAGCTGGGAGGGAGTGGGGTTGGGGGAGAGTAGCAGCTTTCCATTAGAACTCTGGCCAGAAGGAAGTCTGCAGCTGAATCTCTCAAATCCAGAACCTTAGAAGTCTGTAAAGCTCAGACCAAGAGATCAAAAATCAGACTACACTTTAGGTCAAAATTCTTGGGACACTCTGTGGCCTGAGGCTCCCCTGAGATCCTTGAAGAACATGATGTTCAATAAGCAGAGAAAACAGTAGCAATACCCTAGATAATATAGATCAGGACCAAAACAAGGTTCCAACATTCGCTCCAGGAGTATTCAGAGGCTAGACTTAATAAAAGCTCTCAATTCTGGAAGAAAGGCTGGAAAAATGAGTAAATAATAAAAGACTTCAATGATAAATTGTGAAGCCAGGGTTGTGTAAGATACAAACCCAGGAGAAAAGAATTAATTCCACAAAATCTATAAGTAAAGCCTCTATAAGTAAAGCTTGGCCATAAGTCAGCTAGAATTTTTGGGAGCAAGGAAGCAAGCATTACAAAGTGACATAAGTAAAATGAGAGGAGGGGTAGGTTTACTGTTCTGCTTTTGACATGTGTTTGATATGGCCATGGGATTTATAGGTAGGAATACCATAGGCAATTGGAGTTTTAATACTGGAACTTAGGAGAGACATGAGGGTTGGCTAGGTAGTTTTCAGAATCATTTGTATATATAAATGATAACTGAACCCACAGGACTTCATAAAATCAATAAGAAAATGTAGAATAAGAAAAGAAATAAAGCCTAGGGGAGGGTTCTGAGGAACATTCACATTGGGAGACTGAGAGAGTAATTAGGAAATAGTTAGTCAGTAGTTGAGTATGTGATAGACATAGAATTTGAAACCCACCCCCCTGATTTTCAATCCAGTGCTAATCATTACCTCTTGGACCTACTCTCACCCTTCATGGGTTAACTCAAGTCCCACTTTCTTAAAGAGTCCTCATCTGATTTTTCAAACTATGGGCTGGCAAGCATTAATGTCAATTCCCAGAAAAATTTTAGAGTAAATCATTAAAGAGATACTTTGTTACCACTGAGAGAATTGTGGGAATTTAGTGAACCAAACTAACTCCATCTTGTGACACAATTCTAGACCTGGCTCAGTTCCCTTTCTATTTAATTATGGGTCTAGTGCAATTTCTGTCTTGTGAGAAAATTTTATTCAATTATGGAAATTGTGAAAAAACTTTATTGCATTGTTTGAAACTAGTGCTGCATGGCTGGACCACTTCTACCTGTTTCTTACAGACCCTTAACTAATGACCTAGGTTATGCTGCCCAGAAGTCCAGGTCTGAAGATTGACGCAGAGTTTTCTCACAATTATACATCTCAAGCAACCCATATATCTTACCTGAAAATGGGCCCCATACTGCCTGTTACTGTTTCCTTTTCCTTTGCATGAAGACTCATGGGGCTCGGGGAGTGGTTAGGATACCTCTTTTTCTGATTTCAGGGAATTACACCTGTTTGCTCTCCATCTCCCAATTCAGAAAGCCCCAAATCTTTCCTCCAGTTAGAAACTAGATTATCTAAATATACATCCTGTTTTGTTATCTTTTAATCCATGAACATCTGTCTCCCCCTGCATTTGGGGTCCAGTACCAAGCTGAGGAGAGCTCTCCCGATCTGTTATGCAATTGGCATGCATTGCTTAATAAATCAATATTCTTGGAAGCCTGAAAAAAAAGAAAAGAGGCCTCATCTGATTTTTGTAGTTGTGCTTCTGTGACCACACCAATTCTATAACTACTCACTAAGGCATAGAGATTCAAATCTACTTCTATAATTGACGTGTTTCCAACTTGTCAAATAGCAAGTGTTAGCAATAAGCCCTAAGAATGCTCTAGTTAAATTTGGCATTCTGGGTGAGATCCGGAAAGTAGTTGAGGGATGTTACACTGAGAAAACCCTTCCCACCCCCTCCAGACCAGCAAATATTAAAACTTAGAGTTCCTAAACCTTTGGATTAATATAATAGTATCACAAATCTAAGGCCTTTGCCAGTATTATATGGGGATCTGGAAAGCTATTGTCCATTCTTCATCTTTTCAGTCCTAAATTTCATTCTTAAATCAGGTTATATTGTCTTCCCTAAGGTCCAGTTTACTGAACTGGGTATGTCCCATGTGGTCAGAGTATTCCAGGATCCACAATCATGGAAGTGCTACAGCTCTCTGCTTTTCTTTATAAATTGTATTTAGATTCTGGTGGGGGTGTCAGGAGGGTCAGGTGAATTTCTGCCTTGTACTGGACATTGGGGTGGATGATAGCTAGGGTTTGGAGCTTTAGCTCAGGGTCTACCAGGGGACTGTTTTGGATATAGCATATATCTGCTTTAGGGGACTGTTTTGGATATAGCATATATCTGCTTTAATTTTGATGGCAGGCATTGTTTAGTTCTTGTCTTTTCATCCGTAGTGTCTCAAAAACTGTCTGGTATGTGGTAGGTGTTTAATAAATGTTTATTGGTGTGAATTGGTGGTTCAGAGAATTGAATATGATCTTTCTTTTTTTGATTTGCAGATTTTTTTTATTTTGCAATTTGCAGTAGTCTGAGATCCTGGGATATGATGGTCCAGTTAGTTGGGGGATAAGATATCAACACAGAAAGGTCTAATTCACGATTGTGCATGGTCAGTTCAGGAGGGAAGTAACAGAATAATATCAGTAAGGTGAAATGATGCCAATTTGTGGAGTGCCTGTAAAGTAAGTAGTAGTTATCCTCATTTTACAAATGAAGAAACTGAGGCTCAAAAAGGTGATGTTCTGTTTGGGATTTAAATCCAGGCATTCCTGACTCCAAGTCCACTATGTTCTATTGCTCAAAGTCATTGGAGTAAATGAAATTGCCAAGGGAGAAGAGATGTACGATCTTTCTTGAGTCTCATGTAATGGCTAGACCATACAGTACCAGGCAGTGGATCCCAAGGAGTGCTGGAAAAGAGAGGAGGGCTGATATTCTGGCTGAATATTTTGCAATGCCTTCTCTCTGGTCTCTGGGGGCTTAGTCTTCTGGGCTATAGGACTGGATCAAGGTGAGAACCTATCATTTTCCTTTAAGAGGTGACTCTTTAGGGGAAAGATTTGGAATCCTATGACACTACCTTTTCTGCCACTTATCTGTGTGGCCCTGGGCAAGTAATTTAAACTCCTTGGGCCTCACAGTTTTGTCATATACAAAGTGGGAGGGTTGGACTGGATGGTCTCTAGGCTCACTTCCAAGTTAAGAGGTGTGAGGATGCAGGAGTAAGGATTTAATCTATAAACTTTGCAAGGGCCTCTTGCAAGAATCCACAAGGACTTGCAATAACTGGAGGCTGAGAGGTTTGATTTCTGGGGTCAAGGTGGTGGACCTTACAGAGGACTGTAGGCATTGACTATCATGGGAAAGAGGTGCTATTACAAGGCCTTTTCCCAGAGTAGTGGTTAGGCCAGCTTGTTCCTAGGTGCTTCGTAGACTTGGAGAAACAAAAGCTGGACTGGGTATTTTGCCAGTTGTATATATTCCCTCCTAAATGATCATTGGCCTACCAAGTGGTAGTATGGGAAAACACTATAAGTATCAATTTAGCTTTTGCTATAATTGAAGATAGAACCTAACATGGGCAAATTTTTGTAGAGACACAAACAGGTTGATGACTACCTACATGAGGCTAATTCATTGCTGATAGGCATGACTAAACATTCCAAAAATTGATCCACCAGCTCAAGGGTCTTCCACAAGTCTTTCCTTAGGGTCCAGAATATGGCAGCTAGGTGGCACAGTAGATAAAATGCTGAACCAAGAGTCAGAAAGCCCTGGTTCAAATCTGGCTTCAGATATTTACTAGCTGCGTGACCCTATGGGGATAGTAAGTAATAGTACCTACCTTCCAGGGTGGCTGTTAGGATCAAATGAATTAATATTTGTAAATCATAAACTAAAAATGTTCTTATTATTATTACTAAGGAGATAATGTAATCTACTGTGTTCCCTGGGCCCTACCTAAGCTAGAAAATATGATTGTTAATATTAAAAATGCCTTTGAGTTCTTGGAGAAAGTATTCCATATTATACCACAAGGGACTGTCTCCTGTGAAGTAGGTTTGGAAAAGGTGGTATTAGCATGGAACCTATTCTGCCAGGAAGGATATTCCAAAGGTTACCTTGTCCCACTCTGTGGAGTGATTCCATAGGAAGAGGTTCATAAACAGTTTTCACTGGGCCACAAACCCTGGGAAATCCTGTGTTCACTCAATACATCTGACCAAAACATTGGAAGAAAGAGCATCTTATTCCATTAGTCTCCAGTGTTTACTTCTTGAAAGGGAACAGTCTTCTGAGTACATAGCCAATTCTGCAGAAGTCATCATCCCTTTTTGGAGGACCTGGAGTGCGGCATGTGGTCCTGGCATTGTCTGAGCAGCATCTGGGGTGGGGGAGGTTTGTCTGGCTTTGTCATGTGAGACAGGAAGAGATGGGGCCAATAGACAACTCTTTATGATGATTATCAGAAAGTACTGTCCAGCCATGGCTTGCCAATCTTGCACTTATGAAGTCAATTTTTTGAAACTGAGTGTAAGACTTTATCTTTATTCCTATTAACTTCCATCGTATTAAAGTTGGCCCTGTAGTCTATCTTGCCAAAATCTTTTTGGATCCTGAGTCTGCCATTCAGCATATTAATTATTCTCCCACCTTTGGTCCATCTGTTCTATCTTAATATGTGAATTCATTTATTTTCCTTTTGATTTATTTTCATTTTAGGGTTTATATCCAGAATCCCATGGCATCATTGACAATAATATATATGATGTACATCTTAACAAGAATTTTTCACTTTCTTCAAAAGAGAAATTCAATTCAAAATGGTGGAATGGGCAACCTGTAGGTATCCAATATCCAAGCTGTAATCTTTGCTTTCTTTCTTTCTTTCATTTTTTTTTTTAAATCTTTGCCTTCTAACGTGACAGAGAAAATCTTACACACGGCACAAAATTCACAGGGACTTGTCCCTGTAAACTTCAATCTTTGTAAATTTTTTATGAGTGAAATAAAATGTTATTTAAAAAGTTTGATTAAAAAAAATTTCTTAAAGCCTGATAGCTATTTGAAACCACTTTATGGATAGCAATTTTTTTTGTGATGTTATTAGAAATTGGAGGTGGTCACCTGATTGATGTTTCTTAGCTTTTACTCTCAAGCAGAACTTCAAATAGATAACTTCAAAAAGATGGAATTCTGGCCAGTTTTTAAAGATCATTATGAGAGTTTCCTTCAGATTGCTTGGTGATCAGTCCAGTGTAAGAAAATTCATTTCAACAAGCATTTACTAATCACCTACTAGATGCAGATATCCCTGAAACTTTATTATCCACTGAAACTTTTCTTATAGCTAAATTAAATGGCTGATGTTCCCATTTAAATCCATTTGCTCCCTCACACATTTTTCCCCCTTTTTTTATCCTCCTTGACCTTCAGCCTCAGTGATGGTTTGCTGAAAAACCCAAGTCAAGCTCTTAACCCACTCCATTTCTTACATTGCTCGGTAAGCAGGGCAAAGAATGAAACCCTGAGCAGGTTCTGTTGTTGATTTGAAAATGACTACCTCCCATGCTTTCTGGAAATCATCTGTCCAATGTTTGTTTAGAAGTCAACCATTGGATGGTGGTTTTAGCCTTTACAAACAATATTTATTTTTAAAACTGTGAAGGGTATTTCTTTTTATCACTTGGAACTTTTTATTCTAAATAATTTTCAAAATTCCAGCGATATGGGAGTAATAGAACAATTATTTTAGATGATTAAGTGATTTCCACATAAAAATTAGTCACATTATTTTCCAATTACATTAGAATAATAATAATGAACATTAAATAAATGGAGGATTTTTAAAATCTTGCGTAAATTGTCATTACAAATTGTAATAGAATAATGATTATATTATATTATCTACTCAAATGATTTTTAAAATACCAGTCCATCATTACTATTTTTCAATGGTATTAATAATTTTAAGTAAACAAATAATTTTTGAAATGAAAAATTATGTTTTGAATGCCATAGGATAAGAGAATAATGATTTTAAGTAAATAATTTTAAAAGTTGAGTCAATTACACTATTTTCTAATTGTTAAAATAATATTTTTGACCAAATAAATGATTTTAAAATTTTAAACTTTTAAAAACAATTTCACTATTTTCCAGTGATATTAGAATAGTTCAATTATTATAATATCTTTATAAAGTTGAAAAGCATACATGATTGTGAGTCATGCATAGAAACTAATCCCATTATTCTTAACCCCTCCTTATTCATGTTAATAGAAATCCTTACATTTATTTTTGAGGCGTTTCCTTGATCAACTTCAAGTTTCTTGGAAGTTTATAAATTGAAAGTTTTGATTTGTAGTAAATTTTTGATTTCATCTTCCTACAGATCTGGCTAACAGCTATGTATCAAGGTTTGAAGGCTGCAACCTACTTTTGGCCTGGCTCTGATGTAGATGTTAATGGCACATTTCCATCCATTTATGTGAACTATAGCAAGTAAGTCATAGCTTTAAGGTGTGAACCGATTAGGTAGGAGCAAGTGGGAAGTTGTATTTTAGGCAACTTTTCTTTAAGGATAGCAAGTTTTTTTGTGGTGTTATTAGAAATTGGATGGGGTCATCTGATTGATCTTTCTTAGCTTTTACTCTCAAGCAAAGCCTCAAATAGATAACTGTAGAAAGATGGAATTCTGTCCAGTTTTTAAAGATCATCATTATGAGAGTTTCCTTCATATTGCTTAGTGATCAGTCCAGTGTGAGAAAACTCAATTAGTTAACTCTCTAAGTTGGTTTTCTAAGTAGTAGTAGTTAGTTCTCCAAGATTTGGCATTTAAGTTAATGGAGGGAATTCTATCTTTGGTTTTCATACTGATGAAATCACAAAGCCTTGAAGTATTTTTATTTCTCTACCTTTTGATTTTAGTTGGCAAGGTAAGGTTCCTTCTATTGGGCTGATCTCCTATACTCCCAGTTCCCTAAAGGAAGCCCATCTATTTCCCTTTCATTATTCCTAAACAGGAAAGCTAAAAAAGATTTAGATTGGAAATGGCAGTATTGTCTCTTCAGACTTTCGGAATAAGACAAAAAGAAGTCAAATAAGAAGGATTTTTTTTTTAAAAGAAGAGAAGAGAGATCATAGAATCAAGATTTAGAGCTGTAAGAGAGAGTGGAGGTCATGCAATCCAACCTGTTATTTTATATATGAGGAAACTGAGGCCCAGATTGGGTGTCTTGCCCAAAGTCACATAGGTAGAAAGGAGCAGAATTAGGATTTGAGCCTAAGTGCACTGACTTCAGAACAAGTTCTCTTTCAATCATATTGACAACTCTCTTTTGAGAAAGATTTAGTAATTGAATTTTACTTATAAGAATACAAATCTATCTGTGTATTATCATTAATGTTGGAAAATATCAGTTTTTCCCTGCTTGATTAACATGTGTTGGTAGGAATATGCTCCTTATGATCCTGTATCTCCTTTCTCTTAACTATTTTCCTTTAGTTCTGTTCCATATGAAGAAAGAATTTCTACACTGTTGCATTGGCTTGACCTACCCAAATCTGAAAGGTAACTGCTAACATCACGTAAAGAAAAGATAATGCCGTATATGAGATGACTACTTGATATGACAGATTAGTCTTAATGAAAAGATGTAAATACACTGTGAGCCACACTAGAGTCCTGACATGGGTCGGTTGGAGTCTCTTTGCTGCTTTCCAAGTCCAGTGTGATGTTTTAAGTTAGCATTTATTGCGACCCATCTGAGTCCCCCTTCTGATGAATCTTTATGTCGGATGAAACCAAAATAATATTCGTTTTAAACAGCATGCATTTAACTAAAGCAAAATTTTAAGGTAAATAACAAGGAAAAGTCCCCCACATCTGAAAGGGCACAGAATGTCAGTTCTGGGGACAGAGACACTCTTGTTCCTAAGGTTGAGGCTCATCAAGAACACCTCTCTTTGCTCCCCTGGCTGGGCCTCATTCCTACTCAACTCCATCCCTGTAGTTTGCTGCTTTTCCTTAGACCTGCTACAGGCATCTACTGCTAGTTTATGTTTGTTTTGTTCTGTTCTGGCTTTTGCTTGTTTTCTTTTCTTTTTTTTTTCCCCCTGATATGTAGGGAACCTGTCTCCCTCAAAGGGAGTATTATCTTTTCTTTACAGAGACTTCCCTGGCCAAAATACTCCTTGGGGCTAAGCAGCACACTTTAAGTCTATTATTAATTGGAAACATAATCAAACTCAGCCCGAATAGCAAGAAGGCTCTACTGGTCAAAATCCATCTTTCTGACTACTGTTATCACCTTCCCTCAGTACTAATTTTCTCAGGTCCACTCGATCTTGTTTCCAACTCCCATTGTCCCTTTGGTAGCTAGGCCCTGAGTCATGTATACTTCTTAGGATCTTCACCACCCTCAAGGAAGCATTTAGCTTTAGAGCCTCATTTAAACCTCATTCCTACAGTTGCACCCAGGTCACTGTCCCCTTTTTAAAGAGCTTACATTTATCCTAATCAGATTTCATTTAATTAAAATTCAAAAAAATGGCCTAGCCTGCCCAAATCTGTTAGGATCCTGACTTTGTCATCCAATGACAATTATCCCTGCTAGTTTTATTTTTTAGCACCGAAAAATAAACACAATATTCCATATATTTTTAAAAAGGAATTTTAAGAGCTAAAGTGGTCTAATAAGAGCTGACATAACAAATTACATTTTGTTTTGTATTCACCATTTTGCTATATGTTGCTTCAGCTCAGGATCATTGTGCGTCTAGGTGGTTTCCTCCAGTTTCTCCCCTCCATCACTAATTGCTTTATGATTGCAAAAAAAACCAAACAAACAAACCCCCACCCCTACCCCAAGTCCTGGACATTATGTCTCTCTTAATAAAATGCACTCTAACATTAACTTTTCTGGCAATCATGTTACATCATTAACTCCTCTAAAATTTCAAGTTTTTTTTTTCCCAGATGAACTGCTGTTTAGCTAATCCTACCCCAATTTGTACTTGAAAAGTTGAGTTTTTTAACCTGAATATAAGACTTTACACTTATTCTTATTACCTGTCATCTACTTAAAATTGACCAAGTGTTTTATTTAGCCTGTTGAGATCTTTTTGGATCCTGACTTTGTCATCAGAACGTATTTGTTATCCTAGCTTTATGTCATCTGAAAATCTGATAATCACACCATCTATGCCTTTGTCTAAGCTCATCAGTTTACATTTTACAGAGTTGATACTCTTTCTTTTTTTAAGCCATACTCCAGATCTCTAGTCCTTCTCCTGTTCTCAACAGCCTTTTGAAAGATTCCTGAAAATTATTGATCAACCATATCCTCTAGTTCCTTTCACTTCTTCTGGGATGCAGTCCATCAGAGTCTGGTGATTTGATATCTTCAAGGGCAGCTAGATGCCTTCTGATATTTTCTTCCTTTTTTAACGATTTCAACTCCATCTTTATAGCCAATTTGTTTTGTCTCTTCTAGGCCAAATAGTCTCTGACAAAAAAAAATTGAAGCAAAATAAGAGGATAATTGTTCTTTCTCTTCAGCATCCATTATCTCATCCATTCACCCCTTCTTTCACCCCATGTTTTCTGTCAGTATAATTAAAAAAAACCCTATCTATTCTCCTTCCCTCCCCTTCTGTTATACAAATTTTTGAATATTCTACAAATTTCTAAAATACTCTAGTAATACTATGAAGAAATGGTCGGGGGGGGAGAGGTGGAGTGTCTGCAATTTGTCAGCTCAGGATATATATAAATGAGTATCAGAGAACCCTAAGATATAGAATCGTAGATCGTTGGATTCAGAGCTTGGAGGGACCTTGCAGGTCACCATGTCCAATCCTTTTATGCTGTAGATAAGAAAGCCAAGGACTAGAAAAGTTAAGTGACTTAGCCAAAGCCAAATAACTAAATATCAGAACAGAGATGTGATTCCAGGTCCTTCAACCCCAAATCCATGCCTGTTTCCAAATAGGTAATAGTTGAGGAAAGTGATAGGTAGCAAAGGGACAGTTATGTAACATGGTCAGAAATGAATGGAGACTGAAACACCGTGGTTACCATGGCTACTTTTTGACATTTGGGGAGTGGCTCCTGAAGTCCTTTTAAAGGGGCCTCATCCTGATACTCAGGTGGATAAAAGGGCATATGCTGACAGAGGCAGATGCTTACAGGTCCATTTTTCAGGTCCGACTGACATTCTCCTTTAAAGCTGCATTAAAAAGAATTTTTCTTAAGTGGATAGTATGAAAAAATTGTCATGTCTCTTAATTTTATCCTCAGACCAGATTTTTATACCTTATACATAGAAGAGCCAGATTCTGCTGGACATCAAGGTGGACCAGTCAGTGGTAATGTATGTTTATTTATTTTGTCTTAAAAATGTTTGATATTGGGTCATAGACAGGCAACATGTTATAGTCAGGAAGATCTAGGTTCAAACCTGACATGTATTAGCTGTGTGACACCTAGTAAGTCACTTTTTATGTCTCAGTGCTCTGATCAACTCTTTAAAACTGTAAGTTGCTTTGAAAATGTGCCATGAATTAGTAAGAGAAAGTTTCCTCACCTGGGAGTCCTCTTGTAACTAACGAGTTACAAGTCTAGTCCCCATCCTTGTTGGATTATGTTGCCTATGGGATAATGCAAAAAAAGTAACCTGCAGAACTGTGCAATGTGCCTCTGAAAAATAGACATCTATATTAAAATGTCATTAGAGTAAAATGATACAAATGATTGGCATTATTTACCAGTTTGACTTAGCATCAAGAATGTAGTGTGACTGGGCAGTATCCACCTTAGTCTTGTTACTTTTCAAATCCAAAGATGGCTTATGGCAAACTAAGTAGAGTGTAATTACGCTGTCCTGTGTCTAGTTTGTAGGTAGAGGCCTCCATAGTCACTGTCGGTGGTACTTATGTCCTGCTCTTATAGGTAGGACACATTGTTTACTCTGTGTGCCAAGAGTATTGGTGTGCATATAATTTATATCTATCTATTTACACACACACACATGTATATATGTTGTCATAAAGTCTTTTCAGTCGTGTCCAACTCTTTATCACCCTATGTGTATGTATGTATGTGCTTGTATATACATATACACATATATGTATACACATGCCTTATATATACATGCAATGCACACACACACATAAATAAATGTATAGAAATAAGGACTATATCTGTTATTTTACTAGTATAGAGAACTCCATAGTGAAGAAACACCTTCTACCAATACAGTTTGTTGCCTTTTGTGCAACTTATAGTCTTAAAAGATGTGCCTAGATCACTGAGAGGGTAAGTGACTTAGCCAGGGTCACATAACCTATATGTATCAGAGGCAGAATTTGAACCACATCTTCTTGGCTTTGAGGCTAGGTTTTTATTCACTATACCATGTTGCCTCTCATCTATATCTGTATCTGTATCTGTACTTGTACTTATACTTATATCTATACCTACATATCTATATTTTCTATATTTGCATCCATATGTAAACATTTGAAATGAAGGTAAACTAAGAGACAATAGTCTGAGCATGATCAATTTGTTAAGCTAGCAGTGACCAATAAATTGGGCTGATAGCCTCTCTCAATGATAAAAGAGCTTAAGATAGGGCTCATCTGTCCTTAACAGTTTTGGAGAATAGAGAGTTTGGTAGGTGGAGAAGTGAATGCAATTGGATACAAGGTAGACAGCATCATGGAGGTGGGGACAACATGATTAGTGATTTTAAAGAAAGTGACAATTTATTGTTTAGTCATTTTCAGTTGTGTCCAACTCACCATGACCCCATTGGAATTTTCTTGTCAAAGATATTGGAGTAGTTTGCCATTTCCTTCTCCAGTTCATTTTATAGATGAGGAAACTGAGGTAAACAGAGTTGAGTGATTTGCCCAGGGTCACACAGCTAGTAAGTGTCTGAGGCCATATTTGAACCCAGGAAGATGAACTCTATCCACTGTGCCAACTAGCTACTTTCTCTCTGATAATTAGGGAATGTTAACTGTTTTATAGTTCCCATTTGCAGCGTGCAGACCTGAATTAGCAGACTCCTTCGTGCCTAGAAAAGTTTGTTAGGGAGATAAGATCCTTCTTACTTGTACAAGGACAGGCAAAGACAGACAATGTACCTTTTGGGGATGATAGGAAAAGCTAACAATTATAAAATTAATCCATCATAAAATCAGTTAAATCCATAGAGCAGAAACTAGAGGTAATATTAATTTTGATATTTTCACATCATATTTAATCCATACCTACACCATATCCATGTTATTTAAATCTATGTCTATATAGATCTAATCTAATCATAACTTCGCCCCTAATTTTAATGCCTTGAATATTTTCCAGCAAAAAAAATTTTTTTTAATGACTAAAAGTAGAACTATGCTATTTTTCAGGGAAGAAAACAAAGGGGAAAAGAAATCCTGGATCATATTCTATTCAGCATGTGATGATGGGTGATGAGGGAAAGGAGAAGAGGGGAAGTACCAGCAGTAAGAAAACCAGTAATGCATGCCTACATGCCAAGTTCTAGCTGGTAGAGGGGGAAAAAAGTATGCTCACAAGGTATCTGGGTAGTGGGCTTATGCAGGTGTTTGGAGATGTATGGATATCTTTTATTACCTCAACCAGAGTTACTTCTCCTGTCTCAAATCTAGATGATTTACCTTTTAAAAAAAATGTACTAAGTCTTTATTGAAGGAGGCAATGTATACAATGAATAGAGCTTTGGCTTTAGAATAAGAGGAAATAGATTCAAATTCTGCCTCTAATACCCCAAATCAGTTAACCTTCCTTTGCCTCAGTTTTCTCATTTATTAAATGAGGAAAAAGATGTCTCTTCCAGCTGTAGCTCAGTGATGCCTTCTGTTTTCACATTATAGTCTTTACTATATACATATAATAATGTACATATGTATACATTACATTATATTGCTACTGACACAATTGAACTTTCCCTTTTAACAAAAAGCAGCAGTTAAGCAGTGTGGGGAGGGATGTGTGTGTGTGTGTGTGTATGACATGGTCATACCTGTCCTTTAGGAAGGTCAGTTTGACAGCTTAGTGGGAAATGGACTGGAGTGGCTAGGAAAACCAACCTGCAAACTATTGCAATAGTCTAAGTATAGATACAAATATAATGACTGAAACAATCTGTACTCACAAGAAGCTTACCTTCTAATAGGGAAGATGCAACCTATACTTTTAAATCAAGTATAATTTTCCACTCACTTGAGAGAATTACCAAAAAATGTTGGCACAGTTCCAGTCATAAAAGTAATAAAAGAATGTCTTATTTGTTAACCTATTGTCTTATAAAGAATTACAGGTACAAATTTGACATTTGTATAAATATAATGATACTTCGTTTAATTTGGACTACAGAGAAGAAAAAATAACTCAGCTAGATTCTTTTTTTAAAAGAGTGGAGAAGTATGATTTTCTTTTAGGCTTTACTTACTGGAAAAAAAAGCCTATTGCTACCTTTTAAAATATTTATTAAGCCAGATGTGAGATTTGTTCATCTTTTTCGGTACATTCTGAGCTCTAGTTCTCAGTGTCCCTAGAAAATTCCACTTTCTTATTCTTTTCCACTTTAAAATTACTTCTAAGTTTTGGACCATTCTGTCCACAGTGTTTGCATTCACTCAGAAATTAAACAAACATCTTAATTCTTTCAATTCACAAATTTAGACACCTGATAAATGCAGACCATTCTGGATAAGAGTCCAAGTTTTGCAGAGTCATACTATATTTGAGCATGTAATACTATACAAGGTTCAGGGAAATTTGTATGATGTTTGGTAGTATGGATACATTCTAGGAACACACCTTAGAGGGTCACATTAGAGAGTTTCTTATGTAGGAAATAGGTATGACCAGGAAACACGTATAACACAGATGGCTTGGTCAATTTGTGCCTCTGCTGATCACTCTCTCCACAGAAAGACTAATGTCTTAGGATGTCATTGAACAAGGTCTGCTGAAGAGAGGTACTTGAATGCTCTGCTGTCCCTGTTTTACTGCTCTATCTTGGGCATCTCCATTGATGATATTTTTTTTTTTGGTTGACTGCTCCTTGCTGCCCCCTGGAGTCTCTGCTGAACTGCTATTTTCTATTGCTGGTTGACATATCTGAACAATTTTTAGGGGGCACTTTAGTTAGACTGATCTCTGCTGCTTTCTACAGGCATCTCCACTGCTCTCTGCTACTTTCTTCTGCTCTCTGCTGCCATCTATTACTCTACAACTAATACCTAGCCTCTTTTCCCTTGGAGGGTTGGGGAGTAGGCATTCATTAGATTATAGCTCCAAGAGCTCCTAAATTCTTTTCTGATTTCAGACCTTGGCCAGTCCCACAAAACCATCTAGTTACAGAAGTTTTTAGTCAATTAACAAGTACTTTTTTTAATGCCTATTATATGCCAGACATTGTGTTAGGGACTAGGGATACAAAAATTTAAAAAAAACAACAACAGAACTTTGCTCTTAAGCAGCTTAAATTCTACTAGTAGATATGTACCTATATTAGTATATAGAAATAAATTTGTAGAGCATAAATAGAAGATAGATGATGAGAGAGGATACAAACAGTTGGTGGGAGATGGATCATGCACAAGTTGGTGTTTAAGCTGAGTCTTTGAAGAAAGTAAAGGATTCTATGAGATGAAAATGAGAAAGGAGTACATTCCAGGAATGGGCAATGGTTAATGAAAAAGTACAGAGATGGGAGATAGAGTGCTACATGTGAGAAACAACAGAAAGACCAGTTTGGCTAGACCATTGAGGGTGGGACAAGATATATATTGAGCCTGGAAAGATAGATTGGAGCCAGTTTGTGAAAGGGTTTAAAAAGTGAAATGAAGAATTCATATTTAACTTGGAGTCAGTAGGAAGTCATTAGAACTTAGAGACCTCAATGAACATTCAATTCCAGCCCATTCACAAAAGGAATCCCAGGTATAACATAATCAACAAATGGCTATATAGGATCTACTTGATGACTCTGAAGGAAAAGGAACCCACCACCTTTCCAGGCAACACATTCAACTTTTGGATATCTCTAATTTTTAGCAAATTTCTCTTAACATCATACCTAGATTGTCTTCATGCAACTTGGACCTCTTGGTCCTGATTCTAGCACCAAACTAATCAATCAATCAATAAACATTTATTAAGTGCCTACTTTGTGGAAGGTACTGTACTAAGCTCTGGGGATACTAAAAGAGGCAAAAGACAGTCTCTGCACTCAAGAAGTTTGCAATCTAATAGAATAAATCTAATCTCTCTTTTACATTTCAAGGCCAGAGACTTGACCTTGACTTTTAAAGAATGTGCAGCATTTGGAAAGGTAGAAGGGACTGGAGAGTGCACTACGGATTTGATAGACTCATTAGCTTTTTAATAACATGCTTGTAACCTATCACTTTGTTCTAGTGACTCTCGTAGTTAATGGAAAATTGGGTGCACGATGTTTTGAGCTTGAAGGATGTAACCATAAATAACGCATCATATACATTTAGTCACATAAACCACTGTTCATTATTGACAAATAAACTAATGTCATTTTGGATGGAATGAGAAATAGAGATGTAGCACTTATTCCATGAAAGACACTCCTAATAACAAAATATTCACTTTGTTGTAATAATAGCATTGAGAGCAGAACAGTTTCCATTACCATTACAGAACTAAACATCGTTCATTGCTAGAACAAGAACTAGTTAGTCAAGTCTAGAATGCTGTCTTGTCTTTTTGAAAGATAATATTGTGGGAAGGTTGCTTAAATTTCAACCTAATGAGAGGAGTCAAATCCAAAAACAATCAACAAATAGTGAAAATAGCCACTATCCCAAACCCAGAAACAATAATGATAATGACAACACTAACATAATGCTCATAATTTTTGCAAAACTCTTTGCATGCATTACCTCATTTCATCCTCCTAGCAGACCTGTGAAGTAGTTCTGTTATCCTTGTTTACAAAATATTGTTTTTATTTCTATTTTTTATTACCTTCTTTTCCAAATATATTCCTCCCCTCTCCCTTAGGTAGCTTTCCATAATACAGAACTGGTATAAGGCTAATTTGAACCATTCATTTAACAAAATTTAAAAAATATTTAAAGAGGAAAAAAGTTTCATAAAATCACTTAACACATTCATCTTATTTGACACTATATTACACATCTGCCACCTCTGCAAAGAAAAGAACAAAGGCACATTTTCTTATCTCTTCTCTGTGGACCATCTTGGTTAATTGTTGTTGTTCAATCATTAGTTGTGTTCGACTCTTCATGACCCAATGGAACATACTGTCCGTTGGATTTTCTTGGGAAGGATACTGGAGTGGTTTGCTATTTCCTTCTCCAATCTTGGTGATTATATATTCCCACTTTACAGATGAGGAAACTGAAGCTCAGAAGGGGCAAATGCCTTAGCCAGACTTACAAATCTGGTATATGATGGAACTGTTAACTCAAACCTAGGTTTTCTTGACCCCTAATTCATCTTTATATTCTACTATACTATAAATGTGTTCAGAAAGAACTGTTTAGTAAGTTCATAAAGCTGGGATTTAAAAAAAAAATCTCAGATACACCGTGCAAACATTAAAGAATTTTTTTTCATCTTTATTCTCACCATGCAGTTCATATACAACTTCTTTATTCAAGGTCTGTCTCTACTTTTTCTCTTTAGGTTGTCTAACTTTATTAGTATACATTTATAACCTGATGTATTGAAATAATCTCTCATCTTTTAAAATTCATTCTGTCTTTAATCCCCCCATTTGAAAAATGTAACAGAAGCTTATTTAATAATAGCTTTACCTATTTTTTTTTTCTGAGGCAATCGGAATTAAGTGACTTGCCCAGGGTCACACAGCTAGTGTCATGTGTCTGAGGTCCGGATTTGAACTCAGGTCCTCCTGACTCCAGGACCTGTCCTCTGTCCACTGCACCACCTAGCTGCCTGCCCCTTAGCTTTACTTTTAATGAAAAAAAAATAGAGACCCAATTTTGTTTTATAGAAACAATGACTATAATAAGATGGGTACTATGTACTAAGGACATATTTAGCACGGAGCAAGTCGGGCTTACTCCAGGGTACCCACATCTGAATGGATGGTGTTCCTTCCTGGGAGAGTATCCTTCATTCTTGGAGCAATCACAGCTTCTGTGCCTCATTTTATAATATTCACTTAGCCTGCCCCATGGTACAATTACCTTCCAGCCTGTTATCTCTAGGCTTTCACTATGAAATCAACCCTTTCCCAGCTTCTACCTTTCCTCTAAACCTAGATATACTTTCAAACTCAGCTATACTTCCAGGACAAAGCTTAGACTGCCTAGTGCAACTGTGTCTTTAGTCTCAGATCCTCCACTAGGATTCTCCCTCAACTGCCTTTACTCTGATTAAAAACCACAGCAACAACAACAGCAAACAGCAGGTCTGCTAGGCAAAAAGCAAATAGCTTTCTGAGATAAATAAGAGAGTGGTAATGTGTTTATTACCTGTCTTTAACAAGTGATTATTTGTTTATACGAGATATAATTTGTAGTAGAAAATGCTAACTTCGTCTTTGTTGTCCAGGTAATTAAGGCCTTAGAACAAGCGGATAAGGCTTTTGGAATGTTAATGGAGGGACTAAAACAAAGGAACTTACACAACTGCATCAATATCATTCTTCTGGCTGATCATGGTAAGCTTTCTTGCATCAATTTATTCATTTAGTGTTTCCTTTTGCAGCTCTTTACCTGAGCATACAAAGTAACAATAACTACAAAGTAACCCTAGAATAAGAATCAGCCAAATGAATCAACATTCATTTATTTGGTAGGTGCCAAGATCTGTGCTAGGCTTTGGTAACATAAATTCAGCAATGTTATTGATTGGATAAAGAACTGGAAAAATGATTAGATTTGATTCCTAATTCCTAATTCTAAATTGTCAACAATATTAATAATAGCATACTTTTATATTGTGCTTTATCAACATTATCTCATTATAAATAAGGAGAATAAGCAAGATTCCCCCCCCCCTTTTTTTTGTGAGGCAATTGGGGTTAAGTGACTTGCCCAGGATCACACAGCTAGTAAATGTCAAGTGTCTGGTCTGAGGCTGGATTTGAACTCAGGTCCTCCTGACTGCAGGTGCTATATCCACTGTGCCACCTAGCTACCTTTTTTTCCCCTGATTTTCCCATTTTTTCAAATGTATGAATGAATAAATGAGAAAAAAAACCCACTTATTAAGTCCTTACTATATGTGAAATATTATGCTAAGCAATGCATATATAAGTAGAAAAGAGAAATAACTCCTATTCTGAAGGAGCTCACATTTTAATGGAGGAGATAACATTTATAAGAAGTTTTGCCTGCAGTAGATGGATAGGTCCCATGGTCTTTAGAGTGTAGTGGCAAAGTAGGGCTAGTGGGAGGGGTATGGGTGTGGATGTGGTGTGGTGTAGTGTGGTGGTTCTGCTGTTCCCAGGTTCCTTAGGTTCACGTGCCCATTGGTAGCAGGTAGTTAGAAGTTGTTATTGGTGGTGGCGAGGATGATGGACTCCGTCCCAGCTATGATGATGGCTACAGGAGGAGGGCTGGAAGCAGGTTGGTGGTGATAGTGGTTGATGGAGTGGGAGTGACTTTAATTCTCAAGGCTCTTGGGCTCAGGGTGCTGGGTTATCCCTATCACAGACCAAGGGGAGATGCTGTCAGTAGTTTGGCTTGCCTGTCTCATTTTGCTTCCTTTCTTTCCGTTATGCTACCTTGCTGAGGTTCATAGAGGTTAAAAGACTTGCCCAGGGTCAAATGGGTACTAAGTGTCAATGTGTCAGAGGCAAGACAGACAATGTTGTAGGGTGGAAAGAATGCTGGCTTTGAAGTTAGAGAACTAGGGTTCAAATTCTGCTTCTAATACTACTACTTGTTTTGTTTTGTTTTTCTTTCAACTTAATAGTATTTTCTTTTTCTAATTACATGTAAAGATAGTTTTCAACATTCACTTTTATAAGATTTTTGAGTCCCAAATTTTTTTCCCTCCCTTTGCCCTTCCCCAAGATGGCAAGCAATCTGATATAGGTTATACATGTACAATCATATTAAACATATTTCCACATTAGTCATGTTGTGAAAGAAGAATCAGAACAAAAGGGAAAAATCATGAGAAAGAAAAAAAAAGAGAAAATAGTATACTTTGATCTGCATTCTGACTCCATAGTTCTTTCTCTGGATGTGGATAGTATTTTCCATCATGAGTCTTTTGGAATTATCTTAGATCATTGTAATACTACTACTTGTATGACCTTGTTGGGTTATTTGGTTATTTCAGTTGTGTCTCTTCACCTTTTTCTCCTATTCCCTAATTCCTGGGACACACTTGCCTTCACCTTCTGAGAATTACAGGGTGTTCTAGGTTGTTGATAAAACTTCTTCTCAGACCTTACTAACATAATGATTTTTTAGAAACTTGATATTCCATTCCATTCCATGCAACACATATACGTTGATGTTATCTTCTCCAGTCCTTTCTGTCCCTCTCTATACCTTCTTCGATGGTTTTTTTTCTAACCATTCTGTTTGCTAATATGCCTAGCTTTGTGTATATATTTTACCTGAGTGCTGGAGATTTTATACATTCATATACACATACATACTTATGTACATACACAGATTATATATCTATATCTATGTTAGCACTGATAGTCCTTTTTTCAATGTTTAATTGGGAATCAAATAGTTTGGATTCATATGGTGTCACCTTTTGCTGGAGAGTGGGTCCAACTGCTATTTGTTTTGTAAATTTATGCAGAGATCAGGCAGGTAATTTCTTCCATGTTTCTCTAATATGTTCCTGATATGACCTTATATAGGTAGGTCCTGTATCTATTTAGAGCCAGTCTTGGCATAGTGTGTGAGGTATTGGTCTAAATTTAATTTCTTCTATGCTACTGTCCAATTTTCCAAGAAGTTTTTGTGAAACAGTGAGGCCTTCTCCCGGTAGCAGGGATCTTTATATTTATCAAACACTTGGCTATTAGGTTCATTTGCTTCTGTATGTTATATATCTAATTTCTTCCATTGATCAACCTCTCTATTTTTACATCTGTACCAGATTTTTTGGAGAATTGCTATTTTCTAGTATAGTTTGTGATTTGGTACTTCTAGGCCCCCTTCATTGCCACTTGTTTCAAGATTTTCTCTGAGATTCTTAACTTTTTTTTGCCTCCATATGAATTTTGTTATTATTTGTTATATGTCTAGAAAATAATTGATTGATATGGTATTGAATTAAATAAATTAAGTAGTATTGTCATATTTGTTATATTGACTCATCCTACCCATGAGTCATTACTATTTCCCCAATTATTTAGGTTTGTCTTTATTTCTGTAAAGTGTTTTCTGGTTGTATTGATGTAGTTCTTGGTTGGTAGACTCCAAAATTACATTAAATGGAATTTCTTTTTCTATTTCTTCCTGTTGATTTTTATTGGTACTATGTAGAAATGCTTAATAACTTATGTGGATTTATGTTATATTCTACAGTTTTGTTGGTTATTGTTTCAATTCATTTTTTAGTTTTAGTTTCTCTAGGTTTCTTTAGGTACACCATCATACCATTTGCAAAATGTGAGATTTTGTTTCTTTTTTACTTCTTTAGGTTTTTTTTTGTCTTATTGCTATATCCAGAATTTCTAGTAGTAAGTAGAATATAGGGGGTAATAAATGACATCCTGGTTTTACCCCTGATTTCCTTGGAAAGGATTCTAGTTATCCCCATTACATAAAATGTTAGTGCTTAGTTTTAGATATATATTACTTGTCATGTTAAAGAAAGGTCCACTTTTAGAAGAAATAGGTATCTTCTCAAAATTGAGCACTTAGTATTTGCCAGATCTGTCCTAAATTCTTGGAATAAAAAAAACAAAACCGTCTCTGCCTTCAAGGAACACACACACATACACACACACACACACACACACACACACACACATTTATTTTCTCTCCCTTCTTCTTCCCTTTTCCCATTGGAAAAAAAAAAAGAGAAGCCTTCCAAAGTTGTTTGTCTTCATAATGTTGCTATTATATAATTTTTTCTGGTTTTGCTCACTCCATTCTGCATCAGTTCTTTGAAACAATGCCTTTCATCATTCCTTATAGTGCAGTAGTATGCTGTTAATTTATACACCATAATTTGTTCAATTGATCCTTTAGTGATGGACACCCCTTTAGTTTCCAGTTCTTTGCCACTACAAAAAGAGTTGTGATAAATGTTTTTGTATATACGAATTCTTTTCCTTTTTTTTTTGATCTCTCTGGACTATAGGCTTGTGTCAAAAGGTATGTGCACTTCAGTGACTTTTGGAGGTACTATTCTAAAATACTTTTCAGAATGGATGAACTGGTTCATAAAGGGGCTTACATTCTCCTAGGGGAAAATTACATATATATGGATAAGTAAATGTAACATACATGCAAGATAATTACAGACATGATTAAGATTGTTAAATTTAATAAGAACTTGGCTAAATTCTATGTATTTTTTTTTTAGGAATGGAACAGACATACTGTGATAAGTTGGAATATATGACTGATTACTTTCCAAAAATAAATTTTTACATGTATGAAGGGCCTGCCCCTCGCATCCGGTCTCTCAATATCCCAAAGGACTATTTTACTTGTAAGTATGCACCAATTTCTATAGATGGCCTTGGGAGCTAGGAGGCATAGATAAGGAGAGTCAAATTTTTGGAGAGTAACTGAGAGAACATCTGTCTCATCTCCTATACATTTCAGTAATTGTCAGTTTCTTGAAGGCAGGAACCATTTTGTTTTTGACTTTGTCTACTCTATACTTAGCACAGTTCCCAGCACAGAGTAGCTCATTCCTTCTTTTATTTAACCCTATCTTTTAATTCTGCTAGAAGTAAAACTAAAGTATGTGCTTGTTAAATTGAAAGGAATGGAATTTTGAAAAAGGGTCACACAAAGTCAAACGAGAATCTCCTATTTTTATGAACTTTGAAAGAAAGATATTCCATAACCTTTCATGTTAGACCCTGCTGTTAAATAAAAATTTACCCTAATCCATGCCAAGACCCTTAAGAGTTTTTGAATTAAAAATTAACCCTAAATTTTAAGTTCATTTTTACTGAGACATAATCTTATCAATGAATGTGACTGAAAGCCCTATGTGAATGTTTCTCATTTTTTAATAATTAGCAATTGAAAAATAATAATTTTTTTTTCCTCTTGAAACAGTTGATTCTCAAGGAATTGTTGAAAACCTCAGTGTAAGTAACCCTACCAATATTCTTCTGCATGCATTTGAAACTTTGTAACCTAGTAGCTTTCATCCCAGACAGTACTTAACTTTGGTAGTAAGAAAGTAGGAAGAAAAAGTTTTATTCAGAGGTGGCACCTTTGCCACCATTGGTGACTTCCTACTTGGCTACTGAGGTCTCCAGTTTGTGCCCTTCAAGAAAGAATTTCTAGTATATTAATCTTCAATCGTCTTTATTTCTTAAGTTCTCCAAAGTAAAAAAAAAAAAGGGGGCCACCTATTTCAGGCTCCCTTAGCTCAATGAAAACAGGACATGAGAGATCCTTGTAGACCCCTATACAGTTCAGAAAAATCACTTTATACCATTTGTTGACTGTATGTGATTAACATACCTTGATTTGAAACCAGAATGAAAAAGCATTTTAGGGATAGTATTTCAAATATATTTTTAAAAATTTTACTGCCATTTTGATAAAGCATTAGCCTTTGTGGAAGAGTTTATTGAGGGCTGGAAATTATTCATTTTCTATACAAATGATCTAAAATTCTTAATAAATGTTAAGTATGAAATATTGGTAAGTAATTACAGCCCTTGCTGCTGAAATGTATATATGCAGCATGTTCTGTTTGAGTCATTAAAGCACTTGTTTTACAGTTTATTTCAGATTTAGAAATATAATTGTATAGTTTATATCACTCATTGTTTATATCAGATTTAGAAATATAATAGTTTTATCCCACTGTCCAATATCTATTCTCTCTACCCTAAATTCTTCTTCTTAGTTTTTTTTTTTTTTTAAGTTTACTTTAGACTCCAATCCCTTGATGTTGCATTTGGCATGGGTGAGGGTTGTGAAGTAGAAAGAGAAGCTGCTAAAGCTGATCAAATACTCCCAATCTTAGAGTGAGATTTTTAAAAATGTGGTAGGATAGCTTGTATGGGCTATCTAGATGCTACAGTCAAGGTCTAGGGCTAGCTTCAGAAATGCTAGAGAATTCACCCCAACCTAGCACCCACACATACACAGTATTCCAACATTAGCTATGCAGGTTTTTGGGACTCAGAATTTCAAATGGGGGCAGTTAGGTGGTACATTGGATATAGTGTTTGGAGTGAGGAAGATCTGAGATTAAATTCAGCCTCAGATCCTGGGCATGTTACTTAATCTGTTTGCCTCAGTTTCTTCAACTATTAAATGGGGATAATAATAGCACCTACCTTCCAGAGTTGTTGTGAGGATCAAATTAGATAATAATTGTAAAGTGCTCAGTACAGTGCCTGGCATGTAGTAAACATCATATAAATTTCAGCTATTATTATTATTGTTATTGTTATTATTAGTAGTAGTGGTAGCAGCAATAGATTCGGCAGCTAGGTGGCACAGTGGATAGTGTGCCAAGCCTGGAGTTGAGTAGACCTGAGTTCAAATACAGCTTTAGACACTTAACTAGCTGTGTGACTCTGGACAATTGACTTAACCCTGTTTACCCCAGTTTCTTCATCTGTAAAATGAGTTGGAGAAGAAAATGGCAAACCACTCTGGTATTTTTGCTGAGAAAACTCCAAATGGGATCATGACGAGTTTGACATACCTGAAATGACAACAACAAGAAGAATTAGTGGTAGTGGTAATGGTCGTGGTGGTGATGGTGGTAGTGGTGGTTGTAGTGGTAGTAGTAGTAGAGATAGGTGGCACAGTGGATAGTGCTCTGGTTCTGGACTCAGGAATATCTGAGTTCAAATCTGGCCTTAGATACTTACTGAGTTGTGTGACCCTGGACAAATAATTTAACTACTATTTGCCTCAGTTTCTTCATTTGTAAAATGGGGGTAATAACAGTAACAACCTTCCAAGATTGTCATGAGAATAAAATGAGATACTTGTAAAGTGCTTTGCAAACCTTAAAGTGCTATATAAATGCTAATTATTATCATTAAAATAGACATTTATTGCTACAGTAGATAAACTCTATGATAAACCTAGTAGGGTCTAACTGAAAGACTGTAGTAGATCTGGGTTTTCCTTATCTACCCCAATTAAACACAACTCTGTCTTTAGCCATATGGCTTCTTGGAATAGTTGTGGCCTGGGCTACAGGAATTTCAGTTTTCCTAGTTCTAAGACTTTTGATCTAGCCTTAGACCATCTCTGTGGGCATAAAGGGGGAAAAGAGACCACTGTAAACCAGAAGCACACTTCTCTCCATCCCCTTTTCCTTGTAGACCTTTGTAGTGAATGGGAGACTGTTTTTGCACTATAAGTGAATACATGAAGTCTGTGTTTTTGCATACATCACACACACAATTTTGATACCTATCAACTTTTCTTAATGAAAAGGTAGGGTTGAATTAAAGAATGAATGAGAAATTCAACTAAAAAGGAAATCAAATATAAACTATTATCTAACAAAAACAAATTTAGTGTATTCTTTTTGTCCATATACTAGTTGTAAAAGACTTGTACTTAATGTTTGAGAAAATAGGTTGCCAGGTGCAAAAACTTTTTCCTAACACCTTAGAAAGACCAAGAATAATCTGTCAAAATTTTTTTTTTATTTTAATTAATTTAATTAGTATTTAATAATAATAGGTCACCTATCTATCTCTATATCTTATATCTAGAAACCTATTTTCTCAAACATTAAGTAAAAAGGAAATTACACATTACTAGACAATAAATGTCTACTAAGAGATTGCATCGGGGCAGCTAGGTGGCGCAGTGGATAGAGTACCAGCTCTGAAGTCAGGAGGACCTGAGTTCAAATCCAGCCTCAGATCAAACTTGACACTTACTACCTCTGTGACCCTGGGCAAGTCACTTAACCCCAATTGCCTAAAAAAAAAAAGAGATTGTATCCCTAGGTATATAGATATATAAATTGATAAATAAGATCCTTGAGGGAAGGGACTATTTTTTTTGCTTTGTTTTGTCTTTGGATACCAAGAGTCTCTCATAGTAGGACCTTAGTAAGTACATGTAGAATTGCAAAATGACCTGTATTATCTGGTTTGGTCTTCACGAAAGCCTCCTACCGTGCAACCTGAGAATAGCTTGTGTCCTTATATTTTGTTACATGAGACTACATTACCTTCATTCAAAGAAGTGCAAGAACATATTTGCAAGGAACAAGAAATGTCTACGTGCTATGAGTTTCAGGAGAAAATGTGTTTTTACAAACATTTATTTATCATGTGCAAAAACAAACATCAACAAATATGGACATTTCATTGGTGCTCTTTTTTCTTTCATGGGCATTTCCCTTCACTTCCTCTAAGACTTCCTCTGCCCTGAACAAAAATATTATGAAAGCTTCCCCCTGCTCCAATGTCACAAAATAAGTATGGACAAGCAAAATAAATTCATATGTTGGTCATGTTCAGAATATCTGTCTCTTTCTGCACCTCTAATCCATCATTTCTCTACTAAACAATAAGATACATTGTTCATCAAAAGTGTTCCGAAGTCCCTATTGTTCAATGCATTGATCATAGTTCTTAGGTCTTTTTTAGTTGTTTTCATTTATAATCTTGTAGTCATATAAATTATTTTCATGAGGAAATCTTTACCTGTTTTTCAGTGCAGAAAAGCAGATCAACATTTTAAGCCCTACCTGACTCCTGACTTGCCCAAACGACTACATTATGCTAAAAATGTTAGAATTGACAAAGTTCACCTTCTTGTAGATCAGCAGTGGCTGGCTGTAAGGTCTGTATGGTAATTTACCTATTTACTAAAACACCAATATCTCATGTTTTCCATCATTTATCCAAATTTTCATCTTACTGTTGTGCTCATATAATTTGAGAGTGAGTGGCTGGAATGAATATCTTTGATGTTATATAAAACATGGTCCTACGTTTTGTTTGCACTTTCATATTGCACTCATGTTTGTTAGTTTAGTGATATCATAGATTCATAGATTTAGATCTGGTAGGAGCTCTAGAGATTATTTTATCCAACTCCCTCATTTTATAGATGAGGAACCTTGAGATTTAAGTGATGTGTCTAAGGTCGCATAGATGATTAGCAGAGCTGGCATTCTAAGCCAGGTTCTCTGACTCCATATTTATGTCTTTCTTACTTTATTAAAACCAAGTTTGTTATTTTTAGGATACAGATGAAGGTATCCTGGGAAATTTCTATGTATTTGTATATATGTGTAAGTGGGCATAAGCTTACGCTCACGGTTGTCCCATCAGACAGAAGAACATTGACCTTAGTCATGCTGCAGAATAATTTATTTTTAAGTTCAGCCCTGTGTGAAAACTGAAACTCAAATTAGATTTATTTTTCTCAAGGTTTTTTCCATACTTGTGAAGAAACAGAAGGGAGATAGAGAGCTTTGATGGTTATAGGGGAAATAAAAAATTTTTTGGACCTTTATTTATTCTCTTATCAGGTATGAGGCAGCATAATATGATGGAGAGAGCCAACTTTGCAATCAAGAAAACCTGGCCTCTTGACATGGTGCCTATGTGATTCTGGGAAAGTTGCTTAATATTTTAGTCCTACATTGGTAGGGAAGTTCCCTACACCAATGAAATCACAGTCTCATTCATAATTTCAGGTATGTTTATTTCTAAAGCATCATACCTGGCATATAGTAGGCACTTAATAAATACTTCCTGAGTTGACTTGTAGACTTCTAAAGAGGGTTGGTAGAATTCATTTTCACATTGTTGAAGATGAACTTGAGAATGTAATAATAATAATAGCTAATAGCATTTATATAGTGCCTTTAAATGTGTTATATCATTTGATCCTCACAACAACCTAGTGAGAAAGCTGCTATTATTATCTACTATTATCATTTTAGAGATACAGAAACAGATTAAGAAGCTAAAAGGATTTGCTAATCACATTGTCAGATAGTAAGCACCTAAGGCAGTATTTGAATTTGCGTTTTCTTTATTCCAAGTCTAGCATTCTATCCATTATTCCATGTGCTAAGAGATAATACAAGGGTTAGACTTTTGCAAATTATGCTTGACTTTGATAAAGTCTTTAATAGAGAAAAGGAAGGCGAAAAGGAAGAAAACATGAAATAGAATAAGGGACAGCAGAGTTCCGATTTTTGTTAAAGGGCCGTAGAAATTAGGAAAACCTTGGTTACTACACATCCAGAAACATCTTCCTACTAGTGGGCAGATATGTCTTGATCACTCACTGGTCAAAAAACTCTGATCTTAAGATGCCACTCTGGTGGAAAACTTGAACTATCCCCAAAATGTCCACAAGGTGGCACTGTTCCTTCTACCTCAGGTAACAGTTTGTCAGGCAGCTTTATAGATTGACAAAAGTAGGAGAAGAATTTTCTCTCTGGTTGAGGGGGTGGGCGGGCAGGGAAATGACCAGATTTTATCTCTGGTTTATGGTAGCTATGTCTTCTGTGAGAGTGTAAACGACCTAACATCGTGAACTATTAGCCATTAATATTGGGGGTAAAACACATCAGGTCCCAAAACATTGACTTTAAAAAAACAAAACAAAACAATTCATTACAATGATTAAATAAATAAATAAATAAATAAGCATCCAAATACAGAGGACAAAATGACAGTAAATTGGAGTACTTTACTTTGTATCTGTGGATGTGCACTGAAGTTAATGTTGGTCATGTGAGTGGCTAGGACATGAGAATCTGGGAAGTATCTGACAGAGGAAAAAAATGTAATATTTGCAAATATGAGAACTAGAATGAATATAAGAATAGCACATTCAAATTAGAGTACTATCAGAAATACCAAAGCCCAACATGAACTAAAGATGGAATTGGATGCTAAGGGCAACAGTCTTTTTTTTTTTTAAACTGTGATGGGAATAAAGAAAATATCAAAAAAGAGACAGGTTCACTGGGGGGAATATGGGATAATGGGTACAGATGGCAAAGAGAAGGAAGATCTGCTGAAACAGGTTTTGCTTCTACCAAGGAAGATGAGTTTCAAATTAAGTTGTATAGAACAATCATAATTAAAAAGGAATTGTCACTCAAAGATAAATGAAGAAATGACAAGAAGACATTTGAATGTTCTTCCTAAGTTCATACCACTGAACCTGAATAAACTCTATTCCAGTGTATTGAAAGAACTGGCAGATGTAACTCTTGCCCTAACAAGATTATATTGACAGTCGTGTAGCAGAAGATTGACCGAAGAAGAGATTGGAAGCAGGGAGGCCAATTAAGATGTTATTACTATCTCACATAAGAGATGACTAGGGCTTGAACTAGGCTAATGGTCATGTGAGTGGAAAGAATGGGATAGATGAAAGAGAGATGTTGTTAACTGATTTGGTATGGGGTATGAAAGAGAAGAGTCAAAGCTCACTCCAAGATTGTGAACCTGAGCGCCCCATAAAAGGTGCTAATACCTTAGAAGGGGAGGCTGCCCTGGGCAGGGAAAGAATTATGCTCTGTTACAAGAATCACAATTACCCTTCTTGGGACAGGAGAAGGGTGTCCAAGACCAATGCTGGGGCAGCCCTTGATTTTCCACCCTGGGGTAAACCTCTGGTGGACTCTTCCAAGTCATGGCTCTGACTGGGTGGCAAAGAGGATTGTGATGCTCCTTTTAGAAAGAGGGAAGTTGGAGGAGGGGCAGGTTTAGCATGAAGGAAAAATGAGTTCTATTTTGGGCACACTGATAATGAATTGCAAGGGTTTGAGGAGTCAGTAGGTGCTGAGGAGGTTAAGACAGTAAGTGCAGATTGATCCTTTCTAGAAATTTGTCAAGAAAAGATAGAAGATAAATATATAGAATGATAACTTGAGGGAATGACAGTCAGGTGAAAGATCTCTTTTTGTTTTTTGTTTTAGGCTAGGAGAGACCTAGGCATATTTGTAGGCAATAGAGATAGAGTTGGTAGGTAGGGCTAGAAAGAAAATGAGAAGATAAGATCGAAGCAAGGTGGTGTAAAGCCAGTTCAAACTAACTCAGACCTGATTGTTCCGTTTTTTAGTGCAAGTGTTTGCACCTCAGAAATTGGCAAATGCTCTAAATTGGAGCTTGATTTGTTGTTTTGTTGTTTGAGACTTAAGAAAGTGATTAATAAAATGTTAATAACACAAATTAAACTTAAAAGTGTGCTGTGCATGCATTTTTTTTCTGGAGAGGTAGTTGTTTTACCAGCAGACCCTTGGATCAGGAATTAAGTAGAAGGCTTGACCTTGCATAAGAGAAAGGTCACGTCTTCCTCAATGACTGGAACTAAGGTGGAGAGGAAGGGTAGTGAGACAGAGGGGTTTTGAGATGTAAATAGGGAGAGAAGAGAGAAGTCCAAGATAGCCTAGATTTTATCAATAAATAAAGAACGGAAAGGGACATTGAAGTGATATTGTGAGCTTGAGTAAAGAAGAGTTAAGTTTGGAGCAGCAACCCTAGGAGCAAGATAGAATGTCAGGGAAGAAAAAAAGGATTGCTGTGTACTGATGATGGCCCAGTTGAAATCAGGTTATATGAATTTGTTGTAAGTTCAGTTCACAGTTGTGCCATTGAACGGCATAATGGCATAGCTTCCTTCAACGATTTTCAGTAGCATGGGAGTAATAGGAACCAAAAAGGTTGGATGATGGGGAAAGGTTTGGATCAATGATTTTCAGGGCCTCATTCAACCATAATAGGTCTAAGATCATTGGTAGAAGTCACTGTAATTGAACAGGTCAACTACAGGATTAAGAAGGGAGAAAAATAAGGCTTATGCTAGGCCAAAGGACTAGAAGAATAGTGATATATGGAAAGAATGGAGGTTTCGGTGAGGACAAAGAATAGCTTTAGAAGGGTTGAAGAATAAGGAAACATGAAAGGATGAGGAAACTGTGATCAGAAATATCAGGATTTAACATCATGTCTGTTACATAGCTTACACTAGTGGTAAGACCAAAGTTATAGTCAGCTTTGGAGGTGCCTTTCCCTATTTTCAGTAGGGACAATCCTTGACTTCACTGTCCTGTAGGAAGGGAGGACAGAATAGTAGCTGAACCTCTGCAAATGTTAATGGTGGCCTAAAGGGCTATGAAATAAAGGAAGGCCCCCTTTGGTCTTTGACTTGAATGCCTTCAACCTACTATATGGCTTTCAACTTATTGGTTGCTCTTCTATGTACCATGTAGCACAATAATGTTCTCCTAGTTCCTTTGGGCTCCTGTTAAAACTAAGTTTCAACCGGATAAGGAAAATCTTCTTAACCATTAGAACTTTACAAAAGTGGAAGAGGGGCAGCTAGGTGGCTCAGTCGATAGAGCTCTGGCCTTGAAGTCAAGAGGACCTGAGTTCAAATCCATCCTCAGATACTTAACACTTACTAGCTGTATGACCCTGGGCAAGTCACTTAACTCTGATTGCCTCACCAAAAAAAAAATAAAGCAAAAAAAATTAAAAAAAAAAAGGTGAAAGAATGGGCTGTCATTGGAGATGTTGAATCTACCATTACTAGAGGTTTTCAATCTGAGGTTAGATGACTGCTTGTCAGGAATTCTGCAGAGGGGATTCCTGTTCTGATACAGGTTGGACTTGATGATCTGTGAGGTACTATCTGATTCTAAGATTCTTTGATTTTGTGATTATTTTTCATCTTTTTCTATGGAAATTTCAATTGTTACACTAGCAGAACTCAGAAACAGGAATGTAGAAAGAATTGTCTTTGTGTACAGACTAGCTAAAGAAAAAAAAATATGATCTCTTTCTGAAAACCAATGAAGAAAGGGGCAGACTTCTGTTTAAATCCTGTGCTTATGACTGAAGTTGTATAACCTACAAAAGTGACTCCAAGTACTGTGTGAGAAGTTCAAGACATAGAATATTATTTTAAAAATTAAAGGATACATGAAGGATCACTTTAGTATAGATTTTCCAGATACCCTAGTTCAAAGGGCATTAATTATTTCACTTCTCACTGAGAGGCACATTAGAGCTTTGGATATAAATGTACAAAGCAAAATTTACTTTATCAGTTCCAATGACCTGAAAATGTAAGAGGTATAAGCAAAGAGAATCCATGTTTTGAATCAGTTTACTCTTTTTATCTCTATATAAATCAGTTATCTGGTGTGACCAATATCAATACAAACTGAATCTCAAGCAAAAACAAGTGGTAAATTTTTGAAATGAGGAATGAGAGGGGAACAAATATAAAAACCCCACTGCTTTCCCCTTCTAGCTTCCTTTTTTTCCTTTTCTATTTCAGTACAAAGGGCAGAGCAATGGAATTTCTGGTTGGGATTGTGGTAATATCAGAGTAGGGAGAAAGGGAGGAGCCAGTCTAGGTGATTTTTGTTTTTAATTCTCTAAGCCTTGAGTGAGAATATCACTTATCAGTTTGAAATGAAGTTATTTGATAACATTTTAGTTTCATTCCCTAATTTCATCTGAGCTTGTAATTTTAAGATAAATGGTAGAAATGTTGTTGTAAAGTTTTGTTCAGGGAGGAAAAGAATGATTCTCTAGGCAGATTCTGAGAACTTGTTGCTAAAATACTTAAAAGATGAAAATTAAATATTAGCAAGTCATTTGTAGTCAAGTAAACTTTATGGTTAAAAATTTGAGGTGGATGTGGTATAGCAGAGAGAATATTGGATTTGGAGTCAGAGGGCCTGGGTTTGAATCCTGCCTCTGATATTTACTACCTTTACAAATATCACTACTTTTATAAGTATTACTTCCATGGGGAATTTACTTCCCATGGGGAGATGGGATTAGATGGCCTGTCAGGTCTCTGTGTATGTGTGTGTTTGTATAGATATGTATGTGTGTGTGTGTGTGTGTGTGTGTATTTGTAATCCTATGAATTGTTTCATAGCACCCGTCGTTCTACTAACCTAGGTTTCATTCATTGTTCACTAACTTACGCTTTGCAATGTTGTATTCTTACATGAAAATGCAACATTTTAATCTACCTGTGCAGAAAGTACAGTATGACTGGAATAAAAAAGAATTCTATTTTAATGAAAAAAATTTTTTTTGTTCTCTTTCACCTATCTTTCTCAAACATCTTACCTATAGTTATACACAGATTCTTTCAGAAGTTTTTCTATGATAATTTATCTGTGTAGGAAAAATTTATTATTAGTATACATACTCATGCTACATAATAACAAATCTTTTTTAAGTTGTAAAATTTCAACATCATTATAGTAATATCAGAGTGCTAAATCTAATTTTTATTATTATTATTTTTCAGAAATAGAAATTATAAGTCTTGTGGAGGTGGTAATCATGGTTATAACAATGAATTTAAAAGTATGGAGGTAAGGTTGCTAAATTTATATTACTTTTGATTATTTTGGTCCAATGTTTTTTACAAATAATTCCATGCAGAGACAGGGTAGGGGAAGGTAGGTTGTCTGAACTTATGATTTCATCTGTTTAGGGGCCATTTCTTATGGAAATTTCACCTCTACTGACAGTGTCACAAATTGACAGCTCATATAATATAACCTTATAGCATTGCCTGGGGCCCTGAAAGGTACTTGCTTGTGGCCATAAAGTCAAGTATATGTCAAAGACAGAAAGTTCACCTAGATTTCCCAGATCTCAAGGCCTACTCTCTATCCATTCTGCTAGGCTGCCTCTCCTAATCTCATTTCACTTTAAGAATATACGTATTTACCTAAATAGAAAGGTGCCTAGATGGAATAATGGCGGCACATTAGCTCAGTCTCCTTACCGTGAAGAGAAGTGTGTACTTCTTCAGTACCTCCAAAGACCCATGACTTTATCACTGGAGGATGCAGATGGTACCCTCCACACATCCTCCACACATATATTCATTAGCAGATGGTTTTTATAAGTTGCTGTGGCCAAAATAATTCCTTATCTGGTGTCCAACTTTCTGTCGATGAGCCTTTCCAAACTTAGTTAGTCTGGTCCTTGGATGACAAACAAATAATCCATCACTAGACCAGTAATCATAGTATCATGTGGAGGGCTGGAAGGAACCTCAGATGTCATTCTAGTCCCACTCCCTCATTTTACAGATGAGGAAAATGAGACCTGTGGAGGTTAGGTGACTTTACCAAGGTCACAGAGGTGGTATATGGCAAAGTCTTTCTCGCTCATTAGCACTTGGCAGAGCCATGCTTCTCTGATCTAGCCTTCAGTGACACTCTCTAGCACAGTAAGGCTTGAGTAGTAAAACTTTAGAAAAGGCTAGAGTAGGTATCTTTTCAAAAAGAACAAATATATTGACATTAAGTAATGCTAATAGAAACAGTTGCTACTTTGCAAAATGATCTGATATATTTGACTCAATTAAATGATAAACATTTCAAAATTTTTCACATATTCCCATTCCATGTGAGGCATTAGAGATACACTCTCCCCTGACTCCATGCTGCCATGCCACATTGTGGATTTATTATTGAATTCATCATCCCCTCTACCCTTCAGAATCTTTTGAGATGAGTTTTCTTATATCTCCTTTATAACTATGGGATGAAGTTATATCATGCAGTTAATTTTTTTAACCAGTACAAGATTTTACTTTTATCCTCATTAATCTTAGGAGATTTGATTCCTCTGTCCAGATGGTTAAAATCTTTATTGATCTTGATTTCATTGTCCAACTTATTAGCTATCTCTTTCAGTTTTGGATCATATGTAAATTTTTTAAACATGGGAGTCTATGCTTTTATCCAAGTCATTGCTAAAGATGCTAAAGAAAATAGGGTCAAGTACGAACACCTGTGACACTTCATTAATGACTTCCCTCTAGATTGATATTGATTGATTAATTACCATAATTACTAGTTGTTTGACAAGTAGTTTGGCAACCACTAGTTGTTTGACTAGTACTCTGGACAACTAATGTAACCTCTTTCAGTCTCAGTTTCCTCATCTGTAACAGGGCATAATAATAACAACCCCATAAATAACCCACATCATGGGGTTGTTGAGGAGATCAAAAGAGATGACACATGTAAAGCTTTGCAAACCTTAAAGCATTATATTAATGCTATTGTTGTTGTTGTTATTATTACTATTACAATCTTAGACTTTTCTTATTCATTTAGTTCCAACTGTACTAATCAATTAGTACTCACCATCTTTCTTCCTGTTTCACAAGAATATCTAAGAGGCTACATCAAATACTCTATTAAAATATGCCATGACTTTGGTATATTGAAATATACCATGAACCACATACACCAAAGAAAATAACATGTCTAGAGCAGTCCTTGACCAACAGTCTAGTAATCCCATCAGAAAAGAGGAAAGAGTCTTGCATGTTTAGCTGTTAATGAAATCATACTGTCTCCTACTGATCACCACTTCCCTTTCTAACCATTTACAAACCATTCTTTTACAAATGCATGACAGTATTTTGACAAGAATGAAGTCAAACTCACTAAGGTCTGAAAAAGGCATGTTCTTCCTCATTTTCAAAATCAGTACATTTGCCTGACTTCAGTCATATAGCATTATCTTGCTTTCTATGATTTTTAAAAGATCATGTCTTGTAGCACAATAACACTATTCTCGCTGCTTTCTAGTGTATAAGCTTCATTGAAGTCTGGTGACGTGAATTTATTTTTGTCCAATAAATGATCTTGTACCCTCTTCTGATTATCTTGGGTTTCAGTTTCCTATTGACTACTTTGTTTAATCCTTGAAGATTTGAGAAGCATAGTGTGGCAAAATGAATAGAGAACTGGTCTCAAAGCCAGGTAGAACTGGCTTTAAGTCCTGCCTCTGAATCATACTGGCTATGTAACTTAGGGCAAGTCACCTAATCTCTTGGTGTTCTAGGCAACCCCCTAACATTTTATGTTTCCAAGAAGATGCTGACCTGCGTTGCTAGGGGGAGTTCCCTCATCTGGGACTTCCCTATGCCAATTAAATCACAGATCCCATCCCTATCCTTATTCTTTACAGTTTGAAGACATTTTCCTCTGGTAGAGGAAGTAAGCAAAATTAGATTTGAGTAGTTTTGCCTTCACTTTCTCTTTTGCCCATTATGATCCCATCTATCACAAGTCTTACTCCAATACCTTTCTTCATTGTCCTTAGCCTCTCCTACATAGCTAAAAATATGTCTTGGTCATTGTTCTTGGCAGTAATGGTGAGCCTCACTTAGTTATGGGATTGAGCCTTCCTGATCTTTGTACATATATAACAGACTGTTGTATTCATCCTCAGTTAATTAGGGTCTGCTTCTCCTGGGATACCATTAGTAGATCTGGGACTGTGATGGCTATAGACAATTGTTTTTATTCTTATTGCTTATTCACATCAAGAGTAGTGGAAAATCAATAGAACAAGAAGAAGTAAATACCCTAAAAGGAAGAGGGAGCCTCTGAAAGAGTTATTAAGCAGAGGAGTTAGGTGGTCAAATTTATGCTTAATTTTTTTGTGTGTGTGTGTATGGTTGGGATCAATGCACATCTACAAACTAACATGCTTTTGGAAAGCTTCTTCAAGGCTACTGGAAAGTAGGATTTATTTCATTCAAGAAAATCCTTATATAAGATCTTAGAGGCACATGGGAAGGGGAACAATGAAGAAAATAATTTACAAAGAGTTTAACTTCTCTTTTTATACTTTGATGATAATGTCTCATTACACATTTCAGTTGTTGCATTTTCTGCCTTTGATTACAAATCTTTACTTACAGATTTTTTACTGTCATTCTAGGCTATCTTTTTGGCACATGGACCAGGGTTTAATGAGAAGATGGAAGTGGAACCTTTTGAAAATATTGAGATCTACAACTTAATGTGTGGTAAGTATACAAAGGCAACAAATGTTGGGAGTAATCCAAGGCTGAGGCTTGGCTTGGGGTAATCGGTGATGTGATAAGGGGACTAGGGATTCAAGAGAGGAGGATAGTGTAGAGGTGAATTGGTTCACCAAAGAGACTAGTTGGGGAGAAGAGGAGAGAATGGCTAGTGCAGGGGAAGTGGCCTGGGAGAGAACTGAGAAAACCAAGGGAATTGGAAGGCATGGTGTGTGGATGGAGAGTAGGGTTACATAAAGGATGGCAGAAGGAGAGAGACTAGAGCCAGGAGTCATCTGCATTGAATTCGTGTAAGATGATGAGATCACCAAGAGTGAAGTATTAGGAGGGAGGAAAAAGGGGCCCAGAGCAGAGTCTTAGGGAATATCTATAACATTCATTAAAATTTATAATATAAGCAGATCCACAGCTTCTAAAATAGAGAGGGGAATAATGATATTTGGACAGATATTTGCAGTTATCCAAATCAAAATAAAGAGGCCCTAAAAGAATAGGGTTTCATTGCCCTGATCCTTGCTCAAAAGCCATTCTAAATCACTTATCTAGTCAGAGTAAGAAGCAACATGACTTAGCAAATGGAGGGTTGACCCTAGACTCTGGAATGTCTGGGGGTAGGTCCTTCCACTGACTCATACTTGGCTGTGTTACCAAGGGCAAATCATTTTGAGTGATCCAGGAAACTTTAAAAATTTAAGTCACAGAGGAGTTGCAATTTGCTGGAGCAGAAAGAATTGCCATACCAACAGTTTTATGAAATTACAGATTGAAATTAAAAAAGAAATTAAAAATAAAAATGAAATACCAGTCAGGTAATGAGTTTGGAATTATTTGCCCTCATATTCAATGAAATTGAGTCTAATATGCATGTGTAGGTATTTTCCTTAATTATCTTTCTGATTCATTAGAATGTAGATATAGTTCAACAAATACAGGTAATTGATTTTGCCATATCAGGAATTATTAATATGAACTATATACTTTTTTGGTCACAATACAATCTTCAAAAGTTTAAATAAAAACCCTGAGACATACTCATTATAATGATAATTTTAGGGATAGCTAGGTGGTACAGTAGATAGAGTCAAGAGGACCTGAGTTCAAATCTGGCCTAAGGGACTAGTTCAGGTGCTCACTATGTGACCCTGGTCAAGTCACTTAAACCAGATTATTCCTCCCCCCCCCACTCTGCAAATAATGGTAATATTACTCTGCCCCCTACAACATCCTTTTTAGGTTTAGAGTTCCAGGGTTTATCACTTGGGGGGCATGTGAGAGAAGGGGGAGGAGTGGCACTACCCTATCCCATCCTATAAGCCTTGTGCATTTTCCCCCATTTCCCTGGTGTCTTACAAAGGTGTATGCATATGCATGTATGCAAGGGAAAAGTTAGTTGGCAAGGTAAATCCCTTCATACTGTGACTCCCCCTCTGCCCTCCATTTCCTTGGTGTAAGCAACTCAAGGTGAGGAAGCTTCCCTTTGCCAATGCAGATTAGCAGCTTCTCTGAAAATTTTATCCTTAAAGACTTTCTCGGGGACACTGAGACTTCAAGTGATTTGCCTAGGGCCATGTTAGACATGGCACTTCAATCTAGGTCTTCTTGTCTTTGAGGCCAGGCATCTCTCTGCTATGCCATGGTACCTCTTATGTTGTGTTATGTTATGTTATGTTATGTTATGTTATGTTATGTTATGTTATGTTATGTTATGACTTCCCCAACTGAACTCTGAAATGCCTTCTGCCCATTCTCTACCCTATTGGGACCATACTTACTGATCTCTGGATGAATGTTACAATTATAATTGATTAGCATGCTCAATAGACCTTGGTGATGATATAATGACATAAGTTTGTCTTTTTTTTGTATTTTTAAGTATCGTTTTCCTTAGAGATGTAGAAAAATAGAATGCTATGTTAAGAGTTTAAAAACAAATAACCTTTTGATTTACAAAATATGTAGTGTTATACTAGCAAGCTACAATAGATTGGTGTGAATAAAATCCCTGAAAGACAGTTTCCAGATAATTAATCAATTTATTAATTAGGCTAGCCAGTAATCAATAAATTGATGGTCAATGGTTTCTGTTAGGTTCTGTCTCCCAAAAGGGAGACTTAAACCAAAAAGAAGACCTCGCAACACCTTAAATCAGGTGTGTACCTTCTGACAGGGAACTCCCTTGACAAGTGAAACTCAACCCTGATTGGTGCACATTTAGTGAGGAAGTGGGCTAGAAGTCTTCAGCTCCTCCTGCTGAGAACATGGCTTCATCCTGAGACTCAGCAACCTCAAGGCATCTGGTCAGGGGAAGCCTGGACCTCTTTTCATCTGGACCTCTCTGGCTAGTTTTCTCCTTTACGAGCTAGGTTGCCCTAAACTCAAATAGAGGAAATCTAGGACAGTAGTTCCTTCCCCAGGCAAACAACTCTCCCAGACTGGATTCTGTTTATACTTTAGACAGAAATATAGTTTCACAGTTGGGTGGGGTCCCTAGTTAACTAGCATGTGTGTTGGGGGCTAGGAGTAATCTTATCACTTGGTCATGCACTTCAAAGACTGACTGACGTTTTTGGGAGTGGGTTCTTATCAGAAGTAGGAGGAGAAGGATGGATCACAAATTAATTGTTAATTTATTAATTTATATTACAATTTAATTGACAATTAGTTATTAACATAATAGTAAAATATTAATTTCTCTCATTAAGGATAATAGCAATTATACCCACTTCAATGCTTTTTTATATGCATTATTAAAAGTCTTTTTAATCATAATTGCAGTTGGCCAAATAGAGGCCCTAAAAATTGTTTTGTTTATGGTTCAGTTTATTGGGAAAAAAAATCACTTCATGTGTTTAGGATCAGGTCTATCAAATTCACATTTATTTATGTTTGTATAGTATTTATAAGCAGTCTTAAGGGAGATTCTCAAGCTAGGCATTAAGAATTCTGAGTGACAGACAGGATAAAATAACTTAGGTACTATAAAAATACTCTCAGAGATTACTCTGGGTTAAATATTTATGTGAAAGAATATTACAAAATAGGAGACAGTAAGTTATCTCAAGGAAACCTTGGCTATTTTCAGAATAGTGTATGTAGCAAATTATCTCGAGTTTCCCCAGCTGTTCAATTTCAATCGCTGCAACTGCTCTGAGATAAATAAACTGATCCCATTGCTGCTGCAAATATACACATTAGCTGAGAGAGTTACAAGTCTGCTTGATTTTACTTCCACAACTTGCAATTACCATTCAGATTCTTTGACAGCAGAAGGTGATGGGGTTATCAGGACAAGTCGGGGGCACCTGGTGTTGGTGGGACCTGTGCAATGAATATTTGTAGTAGAACAATATTTGTGAAAGGAAATAGTTCAGTGCACTGTGATTAGTTTTTCTAAATATAAGAATTGTTGCCATCAATTTAAAAAAGTCCTTTAAACATATATGTGTGTGTATACACATGTGTATATACATATTGTTATATATAATAGCTTTTAGCATAATAATCATGTGTATTTTTAAAAACAGATCTCTTACGCATTCAACCAGCACCAAACAATGGAACTCATGGAAGTCTAAACCATCTTTTGAAGCGGCCTTTCTATGTTCCATCATACCCCAAAGAAGTGTCCACTCTTTCTTCTTGCCCCTTTGTTAATCCAGAGCCCACACATCGTTTAGGTTGTTCGTGTGCTGAACTAGATCAGGTAAATGATACCAATAATAGCCATAGATAACTCACATTTATATAGCACTTTAAGGTTCATGAAACATTTCCCTCACAACAAGCCTATGAGGTAGGTGGTGCAAGTAGTGTACACTCAATTTAGAGATGAGGAAACTCAGGTTCAGAAAAGTTGAGTAATTTGTTTTGGATTATATAGCAAGTGAGTTCCTGAACCAGAACTCAAGCCCATATTTTCTGATGCCAAGTCCAGTATTCTTTTCATCTTACTGCATAAATATGACAGAAGTCTTTAATGAAGGTCATCTAACCCGTGATCCTATCTTAATAGCCTATTCATTCATGTTCAAAGGATGGCTTTTATAGAAGATCTGAAGACCTATTCTCTTTTAGTAAACTAGCCCAGAACCAATATCCCTCATTTTAAACTAAAATTCTCTTCTTTCTTGTTTTTATAGTTCTATTTTTTTTGCAAGTATTCCCGAGTGTCTTAAGAATTATGTGACGGTGCAGGAAGTTTGGTGTCATGGTTAAAGGGCTAGACTTGGAGTTAAGAAAACCTGGATTCAAATCCAGCCTCTGGCAGCTATTGGCTGTGTTCCTTGAGGCAAATCAGGTCTGTCAATGTTCTGGACAACTTTCTAAGACCCTAAATTGTGGAGAAAGTGCTGATTTGCCTTGATAGAGGAAGTCCCTACCTTGATGATACAACAGTTTCAGTAAAAAGAAAAAAAATAGTTATCTATAGATTTGATTTGACAAAGTTTAAGAATTAATTTCCATATTTTGTCCTATTAAGAAAGGTAAAAATTTTTATCATGAACTATCTTGGATTTGAATCTTCAAGGACTGTCAAAAGAGAAATTTTATTTTACTTAATTGAATATCTTCATTTTACTTTATTCCTGTTACCTTAGGATCAAGGAACAAACCATGAACACTTTATAACACATCTTTCTTTTTGCTGGTGTCTTATGTGGGGGACTTTTTCAGAGCACAACATTCTGGCTGTTATTTGGAAAACAGTCAGCATTCACAGCAGCCAAATTTTTAAGTGGTAGTTGTGGCAAAATTGTCAGGTATAAAAAGGAAGATTTCACTGGGATGGGCAAAGGCAGTCCATGGGCTTTGTTTTTAAATAGACCAATTTATAGGGTGACTCGAAATAGGTTCATCCCTTGGACACAAGAAAAATCTCTTATTTTATTGTCATTTATTTCATTTTACAGAATGCTGAGGAACAGATGAACCAAAATCTAAATCTCAAAGCAGAAGAAGGTAGGTTAATAGAAAACAAAAAGGGGTGATTTAATAACCACAACACGTAATTAGCTTTTGTGTTTATATTGGTTGGATTTTATTTGAGTAGTAATAGTTGCTTGGTTATTACTGTCTTTCAGTTTATCAGAATCAGCCAACAACCCCTGTGATCAAAATTTGTCACCCTCTCTCTCATCTCCCAGTCTCATTTTTGAACTATGAACTTACTAATCCTTTCACTATTGTAACAGGCACATTTGTAATTACCTCTGATGGAACTATCCATTGTACATAATTGATAAGAATCAGTGTGGTGTCCAAGGATAGAGTCAGGGAGACAATGGAAAATGGGTACTCCCTTGTAAGGGAATGCAGGCTGTCCTTTCCTAGAAGCAAGCCCTGGTGTCTCCCACATGGGTTACTTCTTGATATGCATGTGTTTGTGTTTACATAGGGGTGTATGTAAAAATATACACACAAATGTATGTGTATATGTATGTTATACAATGTCCAAGACTCTAGAGGGGCAAGATAAGGAATGATGGCCAAAGTTCAGGTAATATTGTTTGGAGATGGGCAGGAAGTAGTGTGGGTGCCTATTGTATTTTCTGTTTAGGCCCAGTGAATTTTTTTGTTCCATGATTTTATTGAAAACTCCATTATCGATGGGCTCTATTATCTATATCATCTGTATCTATGTTGTTATTGTTGTTAAGTTGTTTCAGTCATGTACAACTCTTCATGACCCCATTTGGGGTTTTCTTGAAAACAATCCTGGAGTGGTTTGCCATTTCCTTCTCCAGCTCCTTTTACAGATGAGGAAACTGAGGCAAACATGGTTAAGTGGCTTGCTTGGGGTCACACAGCTAGTAAGTTTCTGAGGCCAGATGAACTCAGGAAGTTGAAGCTATCTTGTAATCTGTTTTAGTGGAGGGAGCACCCACATCAGTGAAATCAGAACTCTTTTGATATAAACTATTGTATATTAATTTTATGACATCAAGCCCACCTTACCTCTTTGCAGCTCCCACTCATTTGCTCCTGATTCTAGCCTCAGTGGCCAAAAAGGAACAAATCTAATCCTTCCTTCACCTGACAGCCCTTCAGATTTTTGAAGGCAGCTATTATATGTTTTCAGAGTCTTTTCTTCTCCAGGCTAAACATGTTAGTTCCTTTGACTCACATGAAATGCATTGAAGTGATGCGGTTTAGGGGTTCAGGGGTCCTGGGACCTCCAAAATCACAACATGCGAGTCTGCCCAAAAGAATTCGACCCAAGCCTTCTTTCAGCCAAAGACAAGGTTTATTAGAACATCCATCATATCGGGCAGACTCTTAAGGAGTCTGAACATTAGTAAGCTATTGGCTAGATTACAAGAATCTAAGCAGTGGCTATATTATAAGAATCCCAGCATCTTAATGGAGATAAGATGGACCTTATATACAGAAAGACTGTGGAAGGGATCTAGTAATCTATGAGGTAGTAGAATTCCTGGGAAATGAACCAAGGGTGGGAAGTGGCCTGGGGCCATAGGGAGGCAAGACAATGGAGGGGAATTTGGGTGTAGCCACAATGAAAGGCCAGTTGTTGTGATTATAGCCTCAGGCTGTGGAGACTTGGCCACATGGGAAAGTCCAAGGTTTTTCCTTTCTGGGGCCCAGATCCCAATCCCATCAGAAAGACCCTCACCAACTCCACTCCTCTGGATATTCTTCAAATTGTCACTATCCCTCTTAAATTGTGGATCCTGGAACTAAGCATAATATTTCAGATAAAAGTATGATGATGGCAGAGTACTGGGATCTGGCACCTTCCTATTAAAAATAGACTCATATAATACAATTTACTAGAGATCATTCTGTAAAACTGATTACCACGTAACCTTCATTTCTTACCCTTTCCCATAACAGTGACTTCATCCACTTTGTCTTAGATTCTCTTGGATTTTGTGAATTCCTCCTCTAATCACTTCCAATTCCAATTGCTGCCCTCTGCTTGCTATTACATTCCCTAGGAAACAGTGATATGATGCTTACTTAGAGGCCAATTATACTCTCCACAATATTGTACTAGACCTCTATTATACCAATCTGTACCAAATATCTATAGGATTATAGAGTTCAGAGTGGAAGGTAACTTAGAGACCATAGGATCATAGATCTAGAGATACATGGAACCTCAGTCAAACTTCCTTATTTTACAGATGACGATATGAGGCTCAGATTAAGTGGCTTGCCCAAGGCCATACAGGTAGTAAACATTAGAGGTAGGATTTTATCTGCTGGGATTTCAGATCTTTTCATTCTGTCTCCGGATGTTAGTACCTGAATTGTTCTCTCAGGTTCTGTCTAAACTTGTGTTTCTCAGAAATCTCTTTCCCTATTGTGCCTTGTTCTCTCATCTTCTTAATCACATGAACCTCTGCATCCTAATCTGATGGCAATTCATTCTAAACTACTCTGTAGAATTCCTTCAGGGTAGTCATACATTTTATTTACATCATTCACATATACTAGAAAATAATATCAAATAATAAAATTTGATAGCTTAAGGGGACCTGAGTTCATCATCTTGGCTAATACTCTCACTGTTTCCTATGATAATAGATCAAATAATTTGAAACATTACATTCTTGAAGTGCTTTAAAAACATAAATCTTTTCTACTTCAATGTAAACACATTGTATCATACTCTAACTATCCTTTATTTACCAGCCAAATGCTTTAAAGTCTAAAAAACCAAATGCAACATCTCAATTGTATTGGGATTGAGAGCCAGTATGGATAAGCAAGCTGAGGCTCAGAGAAGCTAAGAGATCTCCTCAAGATTATATAACTAGTTAAGGCAAGAACTGGGGCTAGGATACAGTTCCTCTAACTCCCTAGTCCAATGTCCAATTATACAAATACAGTAAAATGATTCATAACATTGAAGTTTCACTGCAAATATTGAAACTTTTTTTGGGAGGCAATCAGGGTTAGGTAACTCGCCCAGGGTCCAACAGCTAGTAAGGATCTGAGGCTGGATTTGAATTGAGATCCTTCTGACTCCAGGCCTGGTGCTTCATATTTTAATGTGAACTAACCTTGTATAAGTCACTTAATTTCCCTGAGCTTTAGTTTCCTTCTTTGTAAAATGAATGGGTTTGGAGGAAATGATCTTTAAGGTTCATTCTAGCTCTGCCTTAATGTGATTTTATGAGTTTATTAAGTTCTCATTTAGAACACTTATTTGTAGCGTCAATAAGAATGCACAAGAGGAAAGCCAATCCAAGAAATATGGTGCTTATAGACATTTTAAGTACTGAGCTAACCTGTTGATTGGCTGGCTGGTTAGAATGAATTAATTGAGGAAGCCAATCTAAAAAAAAGCTGGGAGAAACATCTCTAATTCTTTGATCCTATAGAGTGCTTTAGATGTGATTCCACACACAGAACCAAAGTGTACTTTTGTGTGTTATAAACTTGTTAACCATTATCTTTTGGACTAATTTGAATCATTATATAGTCTCTTTTGATGGCATTTGGTTAAAAATCCCACAAACCAGCATGCATTTTTTCATTTTCTGGTCTGGGAGTTTTCTCTTCTTGAATATACTTTTCTTCCAGCAGTGATGTCTGAACATATATAAATCCTGAAATTGTTTTCATGCTTTAGAAATAGAAACACTGAAGGAAAATTTACCCTATGGGAGGCCCAGGATTACACAAGGAAGCAAAAAATATTGTCTCCTTCACCAGCACGACTACGTGAGTGGATTTAGTCAAGAAATCCATATGCCACTATGGAGCTCATACACAATCTCTAAACCTGTAAGTTTTGAAGGACATTGATTTTTTTTTTCTGAAGAAGATGCATTGACTAATATGTGATAATATAGTTCATGCACATATAATATTTGTAAGGTTTGAAAAACGCTTTCTCTGCTATCTCTTTTGATCCTCCCATCTCCTTTGAAGTAGGTATGGGTATTACTATCAATGGTATTATTAGGCATAGGTATTATTAGTGGGTATTAGTATTACTAATGTTTTTGTGGATGAAGAAACAGGCTCAGTGACATGCTTATGGTTACAGAGCTGATATATAGCAATCTATCAACCAATGAGCATCTATTAGGTATCTATTATGTATGATACTGGGAGTATAAATACAAACAGTGATATAATCCTTACTCACAAGGAGTTTACATTCTAATGGGGTACACAATAAGTACATATATAAATATATATACAGAATAATTAGAAAGATAATAATTTGAAATACAAAATTGTTAAATACAAGGTAAGGAGGACTTCTTGGAAGGATCAAAAAAGGTTTGTGTAGAAGATATGAATCAGGTCATATCTTGAAGGAATTCTCTGAGAATTCTGTTCTCTGAGGCAAAGGTAAGGAAAGAGTCTTGAAGGCATCAGGGAAGGCCAATGCAAAGGCATGGAGATAAAAGACGATGAAGATGATAATGATGATGATGGTGTAGGGGTTTAATATTTGCAGGGTGCTTTACAAATATCATCTAATTTTATCCTCACAGCAAGCCTGGGAAGTAGACACTATTATTGTCTCCATTTTATTATTATCCTATCTTAGGAAACTGAGGTGATCTGAAGTTTAAGTGACTTACCCAAGGTCACGTACCTAGTAAGTGTCTTCGGTTGGATTTGAATTCAGGTCTTCTTGACTTCAAGTTCAGCTCTCTATCCATTATGCCATGTAGCTGCCTATGTTGTAGTGTCATGTGGGAGGAACAGAGAGACCAGTTGGAATGGGTCAGAGGTAGGATTTGAACCCAGCTTTTCCTGATTCTGAGTCCAATGTTCCATTATTACACCAGACTGGCCTCAAGCCAATGCAATTGATATATTACATTTGGCATCACAGACTTTAAAGCATTTGGATGGCTGGTACATAGAGGATAGTTAAGGACAAGGAAATGGAGTGTGATAGAAGGCATTTATACTGAAATAGGAGAGGTTTATGTTTTGAAGAACTTTAAGGTTATACTATAATAATCAGTTAATCTCACTTATCCTTAAAACAATCTAGTAAGAAAGGCAGGGCATCTATTTGGAATGCCTAAAAATAGAATGAAATTAAATGAGTTCTGAAAGAAACACAGGCTGATGTTTCTGTGATTCTGCACCAAAAATGTCTCTTCGTTTCTACCAGGTACTTTTTAAACAGAGAATTTGAGCTAGTTGTAAGATCAGTGCAGCTAGGTAGTGCAGTGATTAGAGCCCCAGGTCTGGAGTCAGGAAAATCTGAGTTCAAATCTGGTCTCAGACACTAGCTGTGTGACCTTGGACAAGTCACTAAACCTTGTTTGCTTCAATTTCCTTATCTATAAAATGAACTGGAGTTCATTCATTCATAAAATGTAAATGACAAACCACTCCAGTATCTACAGGGGTACGGAGAAGTCAGAAAAGACTGGAAAAAACAAAACCAAACCCAATTTATAACAACAACAAAAGTCAGCAACCTTTGTTAAGCCACTTAAATGGACTACCCATTGCATTGTATCTTATCTATGCCAGGCACTTTATTATTTGGGGTTTTAGGAAAATAAGATTTTAATCTATCTGGGATGTGATCCTCCTAGAAAACAGAGGACTCTGCACTGGCAACTCTAGGTCACTTTAATTCCTAAAATTTTATGATTCTCCACCAAAATCCACTTTTCTAGATATTTATTCACACATTTAAAGACCTAGAACTGTTTTTGCCCCAGAGAGTAGGAGACTGATAATTTTTTGTAAAACAGAATATGTCAGGATGAAAGATTGTTTGGTGGTTGGGCAAAGTTTAGTATATTTCTCGACACACTTACTAACTTAGTCATTATATTAACCAGTTTTTTTTTTTAACATGATGTCAGAGAAGGAAAGAACTTTAGAGACAATCTAATTCAATAGCCTTCATTTTGCAGTTTATGAAAATGGAGCCTAGGCAGGTAGTTGACTTGCATTTAGTACCATAGCTAGTCATTTAGAGAGTTGGAACAGAACTTGGGTCTACTGACTCCCAGAATATCTGAATTTACACTGAACTTTCAGTATCGGATATATAATTGTAAAGAAATATTAAAATCTAATTCATATAAAACAAGGTCAAAGGAAAAAGACCTTTGAATTAAGTTGCATTAGTGCAAATACTGAAGTACTTAACTGCTTACTTATATGAAATAGTAGAGATGAGAAGCAGGTCTGTGTATGAGGGTTAGTGGCTAATGATAAGGTGTCTATGTTTCTCCAAATTAATAACAATTAAACCACAAGCACTATTTAAGAAACATACAAAGAAAAAGTTGTATGTTAGACTGAAAAGATAAATATCTAAAGAACTCCTTTAGCAAACAAATATCCCCTCTCCAACCTCTACCTTTCCAAAGGCCTTAATTTTCAGAATCCAGAGACTTTCAGATAATGAACCTGTGGCTAGTTCTGTTCTAGTAAGAGTACATTGCAAAAGTTCTGCTCTTTTTATGGAGAGGAAGGAATTGGTTGACTCTGGATGTCTATTCTCCTTGTTCCATTCCAGGATTTTAGAGGGAAGTAAATTTCCTACCACTAATTAAAGCCCTGAACTGGAAGCCAAATTCTGTTACTGACAACTGTTTGGGCATGGTCATTGGCAGCGTAGAACTAACATAGTTTGCTACCCTATGTAGACAAATATTTTACTCTGTAACCTGAATGACATAGTTTTAAAATACTGGTTTTCAAACCTGTTAACAACCTCCAGTGAACCTTGCTGTTATTTTCATAATATAAATATAAAAATATATATATATAAATGTTTTTGCCTTTCTTTAGTATGCCACACATTTTGAAGCTCCTTAAAATAATTATTAGTGCTTTCTCTTCTTCCTTCTTCCTCTTCCTTTCCCACCTCCAACATGCCTAAAAATGTTGCACTTATTGGAATAGTCTGAGTCTTATATTTTTGAAGGCCTATGAAGTCAGGTACATAGGATATATGGATTAATCAGAATATAACATGCTTTGTGTGTTTGCAACATTTCTGTCCTCTTATTCCAGTAAGCAGAGACTTTAGACTATGGGTCTACCAAGCTTTAGCCACCCACAGGTGGGAATTCAAGGCTCAAGAAACATTCTGTGATCTTTCCAGGTTAATGGGACAATTCATTGGCAGAAACAACTATTTAGTATTACTAGCTTCCATTTTTAACTAGAGTTCCCGTCCTTTTACTCATGCTACAGAGGCCCTTCTCTCCATGTGTCCATGTGACAGGATGGAATTCTAGCAATTTTGTGCTTTCCAATTCAGAAATTACTCTGTTAGTATGTTGTGGTTCAAGAAAATTACATACAAGGATGTTTTGAACTTAGCACAAAAAATGTTGTAAATCAGCTTTGTGCTTGAAAATCAGACCTTCAATAGGAGCAATTCTGAACATGTGCTCAATTGACTTGTACCTTTGAGTTTCTTTTCTTGTGGCTTCAGTGCCTTCTGATTTTGTTGTCTGAAAACAACTAGAGGGAGGGGGTAGCAATTTGACATTATGATCTACAGCAGCTGCCTCTGGGTCTCTATTGGGACTGTTTAGGATAAATGTCTTAGCTTTGTTTCTCAGTAAGAAAAGGAGAAGTGTGCATGCAGCTATTATGTGAAGGAAGGGGCAAGCAATATTTAAAAATCATTGTTTAGAATAAATAGCTAGGAGATTTAATTGGAAGAACTTTTCAAAAACAAAACTAAAATTTCCTTGAGGTATTCCCATTTTTTTAAAATAAAATTTCACCTTTTCTACATCTTAGTGATTTAAAAAGTCTTTTGAAAAGGCTTTTTAAAAGGTTTTTGGATATTCTGAAATAAGATAGACATATTCTTGACCTAATCCTCACTTTTGTGTTTGCTTCATATGAATCTTAGAACACAATAGGATTGCAATGTTATGGATATTATGAAGCATTTTTGGTGTAATTTTATGACATGAAAAACTTTTTTGGGGGGTAGGAAATAAAAAAATAGATAAATAAGAAACCAAGTAAATAATTTTTCTCCAAGAGAAATTTTAGAGCTGAAAGGAGTCTCAGCTATCTAGTACATAGCTATATGAGCAAGCAAGCCTGAGTTACTACAATCCCAGGGGAAAAAAAAAGAGTGTTTTGCCCTTTATATTTCAGTCTCTGATAAGGAAATGTCATAGCTTCCCTGAAAGTCGCTGTGGAACTAAAGGGCCTCTTGTTTCTACCCTCCCTCCCCTACCCCAATCAGACTAAAAATGAAAAATGTGTCATGTTTAGTATCACTGTGCTAATCACCCTGGCAGTTCTTAGAGGTTCAAATAGTAAGGCTTCAAGAACTAGGGTGCTCAAATAGTACCAGAGTTTCTGCATCATACTGGAAATTTCATCAGTCTCCTTCCTCATCCTTTCCTAAAGCTATAGGGGAACCCACAAGAGATACAGAAGGATTAAAATGTTTCAACAGCACTCTTTCTTGGAATCAAAATTGAAAAGTGATGTGGTTGGGGTCCATTCACTCCTTGGAGACCCTCTATTATATGTACTTCAAAGGAAGGAAGGAAACAAACATTTATTGAGTACCTACTATGTGTCAGGCACTGTACTAAGTACTTTACAACTATTATCTCATTTAATCCTCACAACAACAATCCTGTGGGGGAGGTGCTATTATTATCCCTCTGTGACAGTTGAGGAAACCTAGACAGACAGAGGTTAACTGACTTACCCAGAGTCACATAGGTAGTAAATGTTTGAGGCAGGATTTGAACTCAGGCCTTCTTAGCTTGAGGCCAATTGCTTTATCTACTGTGCCACCCTAG